ATCTTAAATGGTCCTATAAGCCGCTCTAAGATCTTCCTGTTTAGGCGCCGCAGCCTTAGATTTTTCGTTGATAATAACACCCTATCCCCTATGTTATATTCCCTTGGCTTATGTTTGAGGTTGTAGTATTTCGTCTGTGTAGGGTTAGCAATAAAACTCACTAAACTCATCCTACTTATGAGTTGGTGAGTAACTCAAACTCATGAGTTTGAGTTCTGTGTTCTCAACTCATAACTCATGAGTGTTAGGGAAACGGGTATTACCGTGTGTTCTAGCAGGTTTGTACGCCTAAAATGATAATGCTAAAAAAGGGGATGACAATTGTTTTCTCTGGAGAATTGTCTAGTCCCCCCTCACTAAGGCTACGAAGCTCGGTTCGTTCAGACTTTGGAAGTTTCCTCTAGGGCTACAAATAGCGTACATAAGCTCATAGATTAGGTAGTAATTAATTTGATTTGTTCTATTCAAAATACTGTATTTGCTGTGCTTCCCTCCTGACATTGTGCCCAAATGTGTAGTCCTAGCTACTCAAGATACCATATGATTTGTATAAGACTTCCGTATCCTAGTACAGAGGAAGTGTTCAAAAGTTTTGTCCTGCCAAGAATGCCAAGGTATGCATAACTTCCCCTCACTTGCGACCGACGAACTGACTGACAATCGACAGTGCCTTTCAAGTTCAAACGATGGCACCGAACACGGATATCTCGACGAGGGCCCTGATTGTGGCCCTCAAATCTCCGACTGGAGGAAAGACTTCAGTGGAAGTTGCTGAGAAAACTGGCCTGTCAACCCGACAGGTCAACCGGATATATACTCGTGCAAGTGAGCGTGGGTTTGGCCCCAACCATATGCCACTCACCTTACGAGATGAGTGGTTACAGGACGCCCGACAAAACAAACAGCTGAAGCGACAGAGGGAGTTGTCGCAAAGGTGCAAACCAACCATTATGGAAGGGAAAAAACTTGTGCTGATATCGCGGGGGAACTTAGCTTGCAAGGTATCGACATCTCCTCCACGACAATATGGAGGGTTTTAAGGACTGCTGGCTTCCGGAAAACGAAACTGATGAGGAAGCCTGGGTTGACGAAGAAGATGAAGGCGGAGAGATTAAAATGGTGCCTTGACCATCAGCACTGGATACTTGAGGATTGGAAAAATGTAATATGGTCAGACGAGACATCTGTGGTACTAAACCATAGACGGGGAGGTTATTGGATATGGAGAAAGGCAGACGAGGCATTTTTACGGAGTTGCATTAGGGAACGGTGGAAAGGATACTCAGAATTTATGTTTTGGGGATGTTTTACTTACGACAAGAAAGGGCCATGTCATTGTTGGATCCCAGAGACAAAAAAAGCGAGACGCTGCAGAAGTTGAAATACATGGAATGAATGAGGAGTTGGAACCAATTTTAGGTGAAGAATGGGAATTATCAAATGGTATATGCCGAATGTCTCTATGCAATCTTCCTGGTATAAAGCCGCTATGGAGATGGAATAAAAAGAATGGGAAGTTAAGCCGTGAGAAAGGAGGAGGGGGGATAGATTGGTACCAGTATCAGAAAAAGATTCTGATACCAAAGATGTTCCATTTGCAAGTGAATGCATGGTAGACCGTCCGGATACTATTGTACAAGAAGACAACGCTCCATCACACAATCATTACATTCAGCGGCGAGTATTTCAATTACATGACATTAATTGCCTCTTCTGGTGCGCCAACTCTCTAGATTTAAATGTCATCGAGCCATGTTGGCCATGGATGAAAAGGAGGACTACAAGGAAGGAGGCACCAAAAAGTCGACCAGACGCGATACGAGCTTGGGAGACCTGTTGGGAAGATCTCCCTCAGTCGCAAATCCAAGCCTGGGTTGAGAGGATTCCTCAACATACCCAGAAAGTCATCGAGCTAGAAGGCGGAAATGAGTACAAGGAGGGGCGAGATAAACACTGATTTCATAACTATGTACATAACTAAATTGTGAACTGTGGCGTTTCCTAGCGTGGGACAAAACTTTTGAACGCTTCCTCCGTAGTTGGGTGGGTGACCACCAGCGAATACCCACTGTTGTATGTTTTTGCTATTTTTTTTGCTATTTGTCGTTCCGTGATAACAACCTCTCTTATATCATGACAATCAAATAACTATCACATACGACCATAGACTCAAGAGAATTGGGCATCCTGTCCGCTCTGCCATACACAAGCTTGTAATTCAGTGGATTGATGCTCTCAATCTGTAAGGATGCCTCCTTACCTAGATACTCGAAGGGCCCGCCTCAGAGCTGTTACGGTCACCACGGGCATGAAAACAGACTTCGTGCTGTTTCGGACCAGTTGAGGAGCACATAGCGAGTTACACTATAGTGGGGAATGGTAAGGGTGTAGGGTTCAGGGTTGATGCGGACCTGTTGCAGTGGAAGGTTCAGGGCTAGGGTTGGGATAACCGAGTTGGGGCCGTTTCGGGTATTTAAGGAAACAGACTTAACGGGGTTCCCCCTTCATCTTTTTTGTATCCTTCGTAGTAGACCTATAGGATAGCATCCGTTTAGCCTCCGACTCGCACTCTCATATGCTATTACTGTGAGCTGGGTGCCCTGTGTCCTTACACAATCGTGCCAATAGGCATAGCATGGAATCTGAGCCCCTTGCCGCCTTAAGGGGTGAAGCGAGGGTGAAGCAAGGGTGAGCAGGGTGAGCAGGGTGAGCAGGGTGAGGTGACGCACCGTTTTTATGTCAATTTCGTGTCAGTCTCGCATCAATTTTGTAATAGTACCAGAGTGTGGCCGTTTTAGCTTACGTACCTTGTTCAGGTGCCTTGCTCTTATTTTCTATGATCCACCACGTACGGAGGCGTGTACCAAAAGTCCTTGCCAGGCTAACAGTGCCAAGGAATGTAGCGTTCGGGGCTAAAAATAGGGGTAAAGTCACTAAATAGGCATCGTCAATTCGTATTTTGTAGAGTAGAAGATAATACAGATATTAAATATGCCTTCCTACTCTCTTGCAACGCGAGCTCAAGCTATAGGACTCCGAGCTTATGGAGCTACATATCAGCAAATTAAAGAGAATACAAAAATTTCCGAGCGGCAAGTGCGATACTACATGGCTGAAGCACGCCGCCGTGGATATAATCCAGATATCGACAAGCAATTACTCGATAAATATCTTATTGATGCCCCTCAAACAGACGCCCTCAGAAACTAAGTGAAAATGGCGAAGAGACTCTTAGAGTATAAAAATGGACTGGAACTCTCGAGAGAAGACAGCAGCAACAATTGGTTATGAAAATGTGTGTCTACAATGACTGCTTTTCGAGCACTACAACGGCATAAACTGAAGCGATGAGAGAAGCACGACTACAATTCGCTCTACAATATGCACATTGGACTCTTACGGATTGGAAAAACATTATATGGACAGACGAAACATCTATTGTCCTTGGCCATCGACGTGGAGGATTTAAAGTATGGAGGACAAAAGATGAGAGATTCGAGCCATCTGTTATTCGCTCTCGATGGCACGAAGCGTCGGAATTCATGTGGTGGAGCTGTTTTACATATGATAAAAGGGGCCATATCACATTTGGAAGCAAAGGAGAAGAGAGAAGCAGCAATTGAAATCGAAGCATTTAATAATACAATTGAAGCACAATGCAAAGAGGAATGGGAACTTGAAAATGGAATACATCGCCTTGGATTACGGAACTATAGAGGAAGGAAGCCAGAGTGGAAGTTTACAAAAAAGACAGGAGCAATGACCCGTGAGAAAGGAAGAGGAGGAATTGATGCATGGCGATACCGAAAAGTCATCCTTGAGCCTTTACTTCTACCGTTTGCACAAGAGTGTAAGAAGGAAAGGCCAAATACTATTGTACAAGAAGATAAAGCACCATCTCATGCGTCAAAGTGGCAAAAGGCTGTCTTTGATAGGTTTGATATTCAATGGCTATTATGGCCAGGTAATTCGCCTGACCTTAATATGATTGAGCCTTGTTGGCCATTTATGAAGCTGGTTACTAGTCGTAAAGGGCCTCCTACAACTCGGAAGACTGCAGAAATCGTGTGGAAAAAGGCATGGGAGGAGCTTGAACAACGGAGAATACAGGCGTGGATTGAGAGGATTCCACGCCATATTCAAGAGGTTATTAGACTTGTTGGAGGAAATGGATATAAGGAAGGGGTTAGTGATATATCTACACATGGCAAGGCACGTAGGAACTATTAACTATTATAATTGATTCTCATTTTATGAAGCTACAGGTGCAAGTATCGTGAGTGCTCATTTTGACAGGGGTAGGCTATACCCCTGCCCGGCAAGGACTTTTGGTACACGCCTCCGTAAACTGAGCCCCAAAAAAGTGCAGAGGTGCCACATCAAGACCACAAGTAGCTACAGCAGGAGACTACATTGTGAAGTTCACGTGATTTGGAGATTTGGGGATCAAATATACAAAACCAACGACATTCGAACTTCTCACAGGCATGGCAATTCCTTCTACTGGATAATCTTGATCTCATTACACCCTGCACTACCACGAGGTGAAAGCCATCGCAGGGTCTTGACATTTGTAGTATGTGCATCCTCTACTTGGTTCGGCCCGTGTTGGTCAAGGCTCCCGCCCTCACTAAATTGAGGGGCGGCGTATCCACCCAATATTCGTAGTACTGACGGGCGCACTGCCCGGACAGCTACATCAGACAACATTTCTTCAAGATACATGTATGAGCTGTAAGTCCCGAAAATGTGCCACATCAAACCACAAGAGGCTAATTTAACCAGAGTATAAAGCGGTGACTACATTTATGAAGCTCACGTGATTAGGGAACGACACGACACATGCACCTCGCTCAGATAAAACGTGATACGACTCTTCACTCCTTAAACGCCAAATCTCCATATTCTACCTTCATAATTTTCGTCAGCTATAGCATCCCTCATAACCTTAATATATTTGTATACCAACAATAACCCCACGCCACAAAACATATCCACTATTATTCGAGAGTGGGAGTTTCGAATCGTCTTGCCACGAACTCCTCCATGTTCACAGGTGTCTCCAGTGGTTTTCCGACCTCAGCGGACCAACTTTCCATGAGTTCTAAGCAGCATAGTGGCTCTCGCAAAGCCTGGAGATACCAAAAGGTACCATTTTCAAGGAAAATTTGCATCCGGGCAGAAAAACTGTGGTCTTTTCCTAATAACGATTCTTCATCCTGCAACACCTTCATGAAGTTCGTAAAATGGACCTTGTACTCTTCCCTCTCCTCAGCTGTCCAATCCCAGGGATCAGGATTTGGTATGAGCCAAGGAGGAGGAGCATTGAGAAATTGACGTGGTGCCGCGTAACAGAATTCCCAATCTATTAGCGCCTTTATCTCGAACGTTTTAGAATCCACAAGTATGTTCCCAAATCGTAGATCGTCGAGAAATAACTTGAAAGGACCATTACGGTCCACAGAGCTCGCAAGCTGTTTTGTGAGCAGTTTGATAGTTTGCAGACAGCGGTATTCTTCTTGGCACTCGACGTCGTCTGATACAGACTCGGGATTTTCACATAGAAGGCGTGTGTGCTGGTCGACAAGTTTGTTAAGGTATGCTGTAGTTGTTGAGGAAGGCTCCCTATTATCTGTAGAGAAATTAAACGCGGTGCTAAGTAGTGGTAGGAAGGGGTATACCATAAAGATGGAGCCCTGTCAGTCTCTGACCTTCATTCGTCTTCAACGTTAATGGGCCGGATTTAACATGCCAAGATCGACTGTTCAATGACATTGACAATCCACCTATCTGATCAAAATCGTGTTCGAACAGCTCCAAATAGATTTGCGCCATTTGCTTATAAATGAAATCCAAAGTGGACTGGCCTATTCCGGGTTTGATCTTGTCGTTCTGATAAAGAGCCTCATCTAAACGTTCCCCTTCGACGAATTCCATGATAATGAAAGGTCCTAGTCCGGCGAATCGTCCCTCAGTTCTTCCAGACGCTATAACTTTTGGGATCGGAATTCTAGTCCTGTCTTTGATGAATTTCATGACTGCAACTTCCTGATCGACCTTCTCCGTTGGATACATAACATCGCCTGGTATAGGGAAGCGAAGCAGCCAGTCATCATGATCGCTCATGTCGAAGCGCAGCCTAAAGCAATAATTGAAAGCGCCTTCAAATCTTTCCACAACTCGGCATGGCTTTCCACTGCGGAACCCTGAGACGAACTCTTCCAATTCCGAACCCAAACCATTATCATGGTCGTATGATGCAAGTTTCTCCTGCCATTCGGCACGAACAAGTCTGTTTGATTCCAGAGCAGCCGCATTCACGCGCATTTTCTGTGAGACGTTCAACTGTCGACGGCTCAGAGTAGCCAGATTTGCCTCGAGATTGCCTGTAGAAATGCTGGCGTATCGGGGCGTGTCATTAACAAGGATCAATGGTCTGGCGTATCTGCACTGGGAACGGTGTGGACTATGCCTGATATACCAGGCTTTACAGGTCGCGCCGAGGACAGGCATGTGGAGGGAAAGGAGTGGCGAGGCGTCGTGAAGCAATCTCCCTCCAATCCGATCTGCATACGGCAATATAATTATACTTCGGTAGATTGTACAGATTTTCAAAATAATTATTTTGGATGTAACGAAACCCGACATTGCCATAGTATCACTAAATTCACGAACTACATAGTTTGCAAAATCAAGCAAAGTGGCCTTAACTGATTGGACTAGTATTGAATTTCTCGTTCTCTTAAATTCCGCAACAATCCTTTGATCTAGAACATGACTTAAGTCTTCTGTGACTTCTTCAATTATTGCTGTGCTTTTGTTCGTAGCTTCTTGGTGTGCTGGTAAGTGTTAATGCTGATACAGTCCGTAACGATTAATGATTCAAAGCTACCTGTTTTATTTTTTGTTGTCTCTCTTCTTTTTCGAGTCATCTCCCTTCTTCACCACAGCGTCTTGCTCCTTCTTTTTTTTGGCAGATTCCCGTTTCTCCTTCGAGTCGTTGCCTTTTTTCACAGCTTGGTCAAGGGAAGATGATTTCTCAGTGTCATTGACGATTGTAATATCGGCCATCTTGTTGAAAGCAGATTTTGGATATCGAAAATGTTCGTTGAGAATGATTTCAGTCGCGTGGAAATGGCATAATTTAGGAGTATCTAGATTTAGTGTAATAAGGGAAGCTGGGAGCCTCCCCTTCTCTTATGGATAAAAGCTCAACTGCAAACTGCTGCCTAAACTGACATGAACAGTGTGAGGTGCATGACTTCACCGATGAGGCTTCCACAAGGCTCGACTTTGCAATATGCAGGCCGTGAATCAGGTCGCGTCAAATGAGGGGTAAGGATATGTCAAGCGATCGATCCAACATAATTGGGAAAGCCGACCACTGTGAAGAATGCTGAAGAGATGATCACAGAGGTATCTCAGCACCAATTTAACTAGACGGCTCTGCTCCAAGACAGCCTTGCTGACTATGAAGTTGTCGGATCACGATATATGAAGTTGGTATGGGTCGGGCTAAGTTTCTATATTTTAACGTTCCTGGACCTTAACGTGAAATAAGGTGCAGCAAGAGGCACAATTGAAGCAGGCAGCCTTGCGTTGGCCAGTGAAGCCACATCACAAGCCCCTTATATGCAGAGCCGCCATCCACAGAAGGAAATGGCCGAAAGCATCCTGCATAATCTAGGCTCCAGTGCTTTAGGCGTACAGCCACATCGTGGTGCATATTCATCATCTATCACATGAGACATGCAGGACGTTGACTTCTCTGTCCTCCGCAACGTCTGTGGGTTCATCATGAGAAAAATTTCAACGCTGGAACTGTAAGGACACAGGGCACCCAGCTCACAGTAATAGCATATGAGAGTGCGAGTCGGAGGCTAAACGGATGCTATCCTATAGGTCTACTACGAAGGATACAAAAAAGATGAAGGGGGAACCCCGTTGAGTCTGTTTCCTTAAGTACCCGAAACGGGCCCAACTCGGTTTGTAAGGATGCCTCCTTACACGGGGTACCCTCGGACCCGTAAGACAACGCGGAATAGGCGACATAGTAGTATAGCAGCATAGATGTTCTAGGGTCGGGGTCGATTCGGGCGGCAGACGGGAGTGGATCTACCGGTACGCTAAGGCCTAGCCGAGTCGGACCCCATTTAGGTACATAAGGGGTAGGAAGCTATAAGCTCCCCTTTCATCTTTTTTGTATCCTTCGTAGTAGACCTATAGGATAGAATACAGCATCACCTCCGACTCGCACTCCCATATGCAGCTACGGAGAGCCGTATTCCCTGTGTCCTTACACGGTTGTCCCAACCCTAGCCCTGAACCTTCCACCGCAACAGTGTAATGGTGGGTGAACCAGATGTGAGAATCTAGTCACCCAAGGAAGGGATGAATTTACTAAGACAACACACTGTCTTAGAAAACAGAGCCAAAGGGTCGTAGCTTAGACTATTCCACAACGCAGCAATCAGGTGTGTGATGTAGTGAAGTGGTTCAGACAAGTTGCAACAAATGTTGAGTCTGGGAACTCAGGGGTAAGTCAGAGGTTAACACCTCACTGACTTTTCAGAAACAAGGAGTAACAAGATCAATGCTTGGAAGCTTGGAAAAGACGTGGAAGTTGTCACGGTTCACCAAGGCATAGGGCGCCAGTTGGGTATAACGAATTAAACTCAATCTAGAGAAGAAAGGAAAGAGAAGAGGAGCACTCGAGCAGTGGCTCGATCTATATACAGCTATGTTGTTGTGGAGTGAATTCTCTTTAGCGAGACTAGTTCTGAGAATTCACTCCACAACTGAAAACTTCGCTCCAACCCCGGAAAGCTACCCACACCCCTGAACCCCCACTCGAGCTGCAAGGCGCACTTGATATCGTAACAGAAGTATGTGATAGTCGATTTACTGTATTGTCTGCTTGCCCTTTCTTAATGAAAGGGCAATCCTATTTATGCTAAAGGAGTGTAGTTCTCTCACAAGACTTTCCATGACTTACCAGGCTCAGTAACTGTAGTCGACATAAGAGAACCATCTCTTAGGTTCGTAGCCTATAGGAAGTAAAAGGAGGTCCAAGGTCAGAGTACCCCTATAGACAAATTATGTCATAGACAAATTATGTCATAACTTAACCAATCTTGTGGGTAACTAAAGAGCGATGACGGGTAATGAATCATAGAGGTTCATAGGAGCTTTTAGAGCTATCGTTCATGCTCCTAGGCCTCTAGTTGGTAGAGATATGTCATGTGGTAGTATGAGTGATGTCATGTAATGAATCATAGAGGGTTGTAGAGATATGCTATGTGGTAATATCAGCCCAGTAACTAAGGAGCGATGACGTGTAATGAATCATAGATGGTTGTAGCAATTGTTGAGTAGTATTGCGCTTGTTGTTGGTGTGATAAGCCAAAATATGTATAGTGACTTGTAGGTTTGAGGAGGAGATTTCCAAGTTTGCTCTTGAGTTTGATAGCAAACTGAGTGCAACAAATGTCAGTATGACAAACAGGTCGGCATCGACCCTGAACCCTACACCCTTACCGTCCCCCATGCCGTAACTCGCTATGTGCTCCTCTACTGGTTCGAAACCACACTGAGTCAGATTTCTTGCTTGTAGTGACCGTAATGTTACGACGGAACAAGAAGGCTGGCCAACTACAGGACAGCAAGGAGGGAGGTCGCATGAGACCGGCCCTGGTACCTGGAGGGGCAGCGGGGAATAGTAGTTCCGAAAGTATCACGTGACGGACTCGCAGGATGATGAGAAGAGTCCTAAGAGTCCAGGACTCCGAGGACTCGAGTGAGTTCCCAGGAGTCCACTAGGCACGACGCCACTATATAAGTAGATAGTTAGTTCTTAGATAGGAGCTTCGTGCTCAACTCAATACAGTATTTGTTATATACTAGTAACGTGTTACTTGAAGCCTTTGTGTCTGATCCCCTGCCTCCTCTGATAAGTAAACCTTTACGCAAGAGAACCTCTGTGTCTTCTATCGTTTAGAAGTCAGCGTTACACGTAACAGCTCTGAGGCAGGTTCTTCGAGTATCTAGGTAAGGAGGCATCCTTACATGAATCATTCATAAATATGCATAGGGTAATGATTGCTGCACGTAGTGGAATTGAAATTTCGGCCATTGTACTTGAAGATAGTTGAGAGTTGGGTATTATTGTTGTAACTGAGTGTTGTACTTGAAGATACTCGAGTAGTTGAGAGTTGGGTATTATTGTTTGTAACTGAGTACTTATGCTTCCTAATTATTCTAGTTAATTGGCTGGAGTGCACAGACCCTGTACAGACTTTTGGGCCGCACGAGTAGGGTTGTAGGACGTGCTACTAGAAGTTAGCAGGGGATGCAAGGGGGGGCGTGGAGGGGTAACGGACTAGCGCCTTCTAGATGTTGTTCGCATGCCTTAGGGTGCGGCGTAGACCGCGAATGTTAGCGGCAACCTCGAGCATCGCTAAGCTAGTGTCCCGTATAAAAAGATAGGTTCTCCCACTGCCACGTGGAGATGCTCATTCTCCGTCTCGAGCGACCGAGGGCACGCTGTCGCTATCCCCACGAAGAGCGACTTCCACGAGTGCTACGAATTGTAGCCGCCAAAGCCGCCAAATGGTACTCGCATGGGCTTGGTTGCTGCCGCCAAGTTCGGTACTGGTACTGGCTTCAAAGCGGTAACTGACGCCGCCGACAGGTCGGGAGGAATGGTTGCCGCGTCTCCTAGTACAAGGGTTGAAATCTGCTTGGAGTGACCGGTGTGTTGACTGTGGCAAAGCATTTTACTCCCTGTTCGTAGATTCATCCCGGCGGATGGGCAGAATCTAGAGTTGAGGATTGTGAAAAATTGTAATGTGAAAAGTATATATATATAGGATGTCAACTGTTGTCGACGGGAACCACTGGCTAGTATATATATATATATAGCCCGCACCTGCCAGGAACAGCACTAAAAACTAGCTTCCGCCTGGTGTGGATTTTGGCGGGCTGGCCAGAACTCGAGTCTGTTGGTTGCTGTTCTGTGGACGGTTGGCTGTGGGGGGGAGGCTAAGAACGAAAGTGAGAAGTGTGGTATATATTTGAGATGATAATGCCGAGAGATATTTATGGAACGAGATACCACCTTATATAGCCGATAAAAATGGAAAAGGTTTGGCCTCAAAAACGGGAGTTTGTAATTGTGAGTTATTGTAATGATAATTGCCTCTTGAAAACAGACATGGCTCAAAAAGAGCGAGCACATGCACAGCACAAGCAGTCTCCCCTCCAAGACGCAAATAAAAACTCAAGCCGCTCAATTGCTGTCTAACTAGTGTACCCAGGTATCAATCCCAGATGCTCCTTCTATACCCAAAGTTCTATATGCTATGCCGCTATGCTCTCAAAACAAAAACTCAAAACGACAACAAATAGACAAAGCCTCCTCCGATAAGCCCCCCGACAATCGCTGATGTCGAGGGGACCCTACCTTCCTTCCCCTCCCAAAATGCGCCGCCGAGAGACCCCATTCTATTGTCGTAACTAACCCAAGATCATAACCGCCACTTCCCCCATCCGTCCATCCATCCGTAACTTTTCGTTAAGAATCCTCCATAAAATCCTTTGCACGGTCATTGATTGGATGCTTTTTTGTTGTCAGGCCACCAGGGCTCGGGCAATAGTGGGGGTTTCCATTTTTTCAGTACCCCATATCCGTATCCATCTCATAATACGGCAGCGCCAGCATCAGCATCTCCTCCATATCCGGGATACGCTCCTGGACGACCTCATCCTCCCCACTCTCCGGCTCCTCACACTCCACAATCCTCTGCGGCGGATCATCAAAGATGAGACTCAAGCGCTCTCCCGTCTTCCTCCGCAGCCTCCGCAGCCCGCTCGCGCTGGCCCCAATCTCATTCGCATCATACGGCTTGATATCCTCATCGTCCGTCTCGCTGCCAATACTCTGGCTCAGCGTGCGCTTATGTATGCTCCCCGAGCTGAGCCGCTTCATGCGCTTGAGCAGGCGCTGCTTGCTCATCCAGGCGTCATGGTCGTCGCGGGGTGCGCAGGCGAGGAGCTCGAACTCGTCGGCCAGGCGGGTGGCTTTTGCGTCGGCGGGGGCGGGGGTGGGGGGGGAGTGCTCGGAGGTTTCGGAGTGCTCCGAAGGGGCGCGCGAGGAGGCCGCGTCGCTGTAGTGGTCGGGGAGGATGACGGAGAGGTCGTCGTCGTCGGAGTCGCTGGAGTCTGTGTCGTGGAGGGAGGAGAGGATGAAGTTCGCTGGGATGAGGCTGCGCGTGCTGTGGTGCAGCGGGGATTGGATCTCCGAGTGCTGGGTTATGCTAATGTGCTCGCTATCGATGGAAGGGGCGGGGCTGTTTGAGCGGGAGGAGCGCGAGGAGGAGGAGGTGGAGGAGCGCGGGGAGAGGTCCTCGAGGCGCACTTGCGGGATGTAGGTGAAATTGTGGCCTTGGCCGACGGGGCGGATCTCGTCGTGGGTCGGCGGGAGGGGCCTTGAGAAATTGCGCATTCCGGGGCGTGAGGTGGGGTGGAGAGGCTCGCCAAGCGGGAAGGACGAGGTGGTGGGCGTCTCGGGTGGTGAGGAGGGCACCGTGGGTCGGCGCGCGAACCGCACGTTCGGGGTGGATGGTTGGGAGTCGTCGGAGTCATCGGAGTCCCAGTCTGAGGAGTCGGATGAGGACGACATTTTTTGGTTTTATGTGTAAGCGTCGTCGGCGTTGTCGCACGCTGGGTGGTTTGCGGGTTGAGTGGTCGGTACTATCGGTCGTGATGGCGACAGGGTATGAAGGTCTCTCCACAGAGGAGAATCCAGTCGAGGGGAATTGCAGCTCATGATAAGAAGTAAAGGGATAGATGTTGCACGTAAGACGCTCGAGCTCTCTGTAGGGGGCTTCTCGAGGATACTATGAGGTGATCTTCCTTGGATAAGAAGGGATAATAAGGGCGGCGGCCAGAATTCCAGGCAGTGTCGTGTGGTGGTCGGGTATCGGGCTGGTGGGAGAGGAGGGGTGGCCACCACTCTTTTTTTTTTTTTTTTTTTTTTTTCAGATTGATTGCTTTGATTGCAGACGGGAAGGAAGGAGTTGGCAGTCGACGGCCGATGAAAGGTACGGGATATATAAAATATATGTATAAGATATGTATAAGATATGTAATGACGAGAAGTATAGGGAGGGGAGGAGGAACCTTTTTGTAGCGGACGGTTTCAGTCGGGAGGAATGGGAGGAATGGGAGGAACGGGAGGAATGGGAGGAATGTGAGCAATGTGAGGAATGGGAGGAATGGGAGGAATGGGAGGAAGGTGGGAGGAAGGTGGGAGGAAGGTGGGAGGAAGGTGGGTGGGAGAGTTGTGGATAAATATAACGCGAAAATCTGACAGTTTCGGCGCCTCTGCCCTGTGTGGGTGGTAATAATTATCGTGGGTAGCAGCTGTTGGTATGATCTTTAATCAAAGGACCAGGGGGGACTTCATTAGTACAGTTATAGTACAGGTAATACAGTACTTAACATTATCTAAAGAGGGCGTGGAGGCAGCGAAAATGCAGTGAAATGCAGTGAAATGCAGTGAAATGCAGCGAAATGCAGCGAAATGCAGCGAAATGCAGCGAAATGCACCAAGCAACGGTATGAAACCGCAGTGTCGGGTTGCAATGCTGGGAAGGGCAAAGAAAAAAGCTTCCATGAAAAATTCGGAGTCGGGCAGCAACACAGCCAGAGGGAAATAGCCAGCCAGGTTGTGTAGGTTTTCTGTGGCACCATTTGCCCATTTTGCCCACAATCCTGGCCGCATGGGGAATACAGCTAACAGCTAAACAGCAAGCAGCATTTTGTTTTGATTTTGATTTCCCACTCGTTGCTGCGTGCGTGCGTCTAGTCATCAAGGGATATATCACGACCGCCGAGGTAGATGTCTGTGAACGAAGTGCGTTGTCAGAAGCGCAATTTCGGGCGGAGACATGAGAGGACGAGCGCGCGTTCGTGAGCCGGTGTCACCTAGCGTCACTACTCAGAACACCTGGGTCTTAGGTCTATTAGGTCTATTAGGTCTATTAGGTCTATTAGGTCTATTAGGTCTATTAGGTCTATTAGGTCTATTAGGTCTATTAGGTCTATTAGTCTATTAGGTCTATTAGTCTATTAGGTCTATTAGTCTATTAGGTCCAGGTGTAAGGAGCGTCGACGAACTTTGTGTGGGTTTCCTTTAAAGTGATAGAAGTACTCACAGGCACTCGGCGATCGAATTCCACACACATTCCACGCACGCATGTTGGTCCGCTGCGCTGGTCTCAACCTCCTCGTCTCAGCTATGATGTCTCATGGAGATATATATAGATGGGCATGAACAATAAGACGCGTATGTGTCGGATACAAATCACAAATCTCAAACTCAATCGAGGCCCGAATATGTGGTTCGGCGGTTCGGCGGTTCGGCGGTTCGTCGGTTCGGCGGTGCACATTATGAAACAGTGCTCGACATCATGTATTGAACAGTACGAGCGAGTGTTGTCCAGGTCGAAGTACAGTACTACTACACTGCATAACCATGCCTGTATAACCCTAATATATAACTGAACCAACTGTATAACTATACTGTATAACTATACTATATAACTATACTATATAACTATACTACTATACCTGTTCGCCTCCCCTGCCCCGCCTCTCCCTCACCTTCTTCACCTTCCCATTGTTGACTCGTCAGGGAACACCCCTCCCACAACACCACGTATCACTCTCACCTCCCACCTCCCACCTCCCACCTCCCACCTCCCACCTCCCACCTCCCACCTCCCACCTCCCACCTCCCACCTCCCACCTCCCACCTCCCACCTCCCACCTCCCACCTCCCACCTCTCAACAAACATGTCGTTCCTCTCCAACCATCTCGAGCAAATCTCCCTATCCGCCCAATCCATAGCCTCCCTCCCGTATGTCCCAAACCCCCACCACAACTCCACAATACCGAAGAAGACCAACCGCATTAACCTCGCCCCCTAGATTCCCCCCACCCAAGATCTTCACCAATGCGCTCCTCGCGTCCCACGACATCACAGCCCTGATCCGCGACACCGAGCCGCACGAGCGCGCCCTCTTCTCCGTTCCCCCGCCCCCCCCGCGTGACTCCTCCATCTACCCCGATCCCGCCGCCACCGCCTCGCGGCGGCGGACCGTTTTCAACGTCGCGGGCGGCGAGGTTGTCTCGAGCGCAGCCACAACGTCGCGCGCGCCGCGGCGGAATGCAGCGGTTGCTGCTGTGCTGGGCGCGGATTTGAACTCGGAAATCCGGAAGAGTGAGAATGTGCACAAGGGCGACTTGGATGTGGAGGTGCTGCTGAGGGGCGCGGAGAAGCTGGGGGAGGTGTATGTGATGGAGGGGGCGAGGGAGCGGATTGCCCAGCTACGGTCGCGCTATGCGAGGATACAGACGAGTTTACAGCATTATGAGCAGAAGGTTGTGAAACAGACGCGGGAGTTGGAGAGGATGAATAGGCAGGGTGATTGGGATGGGGATAGCCCGGATGAGGATGTGGCCGGGGAGGAGGACGGAGATGCTGATGACGCGGTGATTACCGACGAATTATTAAGGCTGGAGGAGGAGGAGATATTGGAATTGGAGAGGAAGAAGAAGGAGCTGGAGGAGCGGGTGTCGGGGATGGAGAGGGACCTTGGGGGGCTGTTGCGATGATACGTGTCAATGTGCGAGTGTGGGCGCACCACGTTCAACACAACATCATCAAATGCTCATTTATTGACGCTCTTTAATATATACGAATTGATACCCAAGTCATGATCCAACGCACATGATATATGCACTGCTCGACTGTTGCGGCGGTTGCCATTTGAATCGACACTTGCAGTCAAAGGCGGTGAGTGCCGAAACGCTGTATGTAGTTTAGCTCCATCGAGATACCGCGATGGCGAGGCCGTGAGACCATCGAACTTCATTTCTGTACGTCAAATACACTGCCGCGCATGAGCCGGGGTTAACAACCCAAACTTTTCACTTCGCTATCACGTAGCATTCACACTATCAGAAAGCGACGATGAACGGCTTCCAGAATCCCCAAGGGCAGCAGCCGCCCCAGCAATCACCCCAGCAGTCTCTCCAACAACCTCCCCAGCAGCAACAGCCCCAGCAGCAGGCACAACCTCGCCCTATGCTCTTCAAGCCGGAGCACATGCGCGCGCTCCCTGATAAATTCAGCATAGAAGAGAAGAAGAAATGGGAGAATGGTCTGGCGATGCTGTACCGACAGATAGAGGCGAACCCGCCCGACACCCAGGCGCATCGTGATGCGGCAAAGAAAATCCGCGACTTCTCTGTGACTCTACATAATAAGATGCAGGCGACTGCGAACCGTCCACAGGCCAACCCAAATCAGCAGCGACCACCTAGTCAGGCTCCATCACAGCAGTCGCAACCTGATGGTTCTGCACCTCCGTCCCAGCCTCAAGCACCCGCCCAAACTGCCCCAGCGAGGCCTCCTGTATCCGAAAACATGCGAAACCATGTGAATTCATTCCCATACGTTGCGCCATCAACCTTGGGCCCTGCGGAGGCGGCACAGTGGATCCAGGAGATAAAGGGAAAATACCTGAAGGCGCTTCTTACGATGGAGAACACGGCGGGAGGACTCAAACGACTTGAGGCCCAGGTGGCTGTGAGGACACAAGGCGGGAAACCCTTAACACCAGAGGAGCAAAAGGAGCTCCAAATCAAAAAGGAGGCGTTCCAAAAGAACCACGGCGATGCCAAGCGCTTCGTTGATCAGTTCCGGAGACAACAGTCAGATGCAGCAGCACAAGCACAAGCAGGTGGCTCGCAAGCCCAGCAGCAGCCCTCCCACCCACCGCAAGGAATCGCAGTCCCTCCCCGTCCAACAATGAACATCCAACAGCCCGCACAAAGCCAAGCGATGGCGCAAACCGAAGCGGTGCAGGCCGCGATGCAAGCAGCGCGAAACCAGCAGGTCAACGGCGGCCGTCCCAACGCCCCGCCCCCAAACCAGCAAAGCGAGCTACAACAACAAAACCAGAGTCAGCCCATAAACGCAGCAAACGCGGCCGCCATGCCCCCATCCCAAAATGCGCAAGGTGGTGATGGTGGTGGTGGTGCAGCCATAAAATCGGAAAGCGCGACTGCTGGTGGCAGCCTTCCCCACGTCAACACCGCGCTCGCGACAGCCCCGCATATCCAGCAGATGCAGAACCGTCAACCTGCGCAGAATTCACCACAATCTGCAGTCCCGCCATCAGTGACGTCTGTTGGTCCCCCCAAGCCGCTCACGCACTCTGATGCGGTTGCGCAGGCGGCGCGCACGTATTCTAGTAGTCAGACTACGGGACAGGCGAGCGTGATGGCTAGCCACTCGCACCCGCCTTCGCTACCGCGCGATGCGCCGAATATAAAGACGAACCTGATGCCGATTCCGAAGGTTCTTCCTCCACGCGCTACGGAGTCGCCACATCCGATGCAGATGCCTCCAACGCGGCCTACGTATTCGGGGGGGCCTTCGGGGAGTGGGAGTGGACTTATGCAGCAGCCTGTTATGCAGAAGGCGCCTGGGTTTAATGTTGAGGGGGATGCGGAGAGGGTGCTTAATAAACGGAAGTTGGATGAGCTTATTCGACAGGTTACTGGAGGAGGAGAAGGTCTGGATAATTCGGAGGGCCTTACCCCGGAAGTTGAAGATGTAAGTTACGCGTTATTACGTTCATAATACCTCCCGATCTACCCCAAATCACCACCAACCTCACAATTTCCTCACCACCAACCCCCCAACCTACCTCCCCCCTCTCCCACACACGCAAGCTAACTACCCTCCCCCAGTGCGTCCTCTCCGTCGCCGACGAGTTCGTCGACCAAGTCATCACGGCCGCTTGCAAGTGCGCCAAAGCCCGCGGCTCCAAGACCCTTGAGATCCGCGACATCCAGCTCATCCTCGAGCGCAACTACAACATCCGCATCCCCGGCTACGCGTCCGACGAGATCCGCACCGTGCGCAAGTTCCTGCCGGCGCAGGGGTGGATTGCTAAGATGAGCGCGGTGCAGGCGAGTAAGGTTACGGGGGGGAAGGCGGATTTGTGATGGGAGGGGGGGTTGTGAGGGGGGTAGGGCGTTTACTTTGTTTTCTTTTCATGGATGGGGCGTTGAGGGGGGGGGGGAGTGTAATATTAGGGTGCTTTTCTGGGGTGGATAGAGGTGAGGAGCATAGTGATTTGTGTGGGCTTTTGGGGTTGGGATGAGGTTTTAGTTTCCAACAATGCAGTGGCTCTCAACCAACTCTTTTTTCCATGCGTCTTTGTAACATCTTATTGTCTCTGGGTCTCTGAAGGTCGTATTTCACCTCTTCAACTACTCACTATTGCGAATCTGAAGTTTTGAGCAAGTGGTGACGGACCCAAAAATATTCTACGTACGCTATGGTAAAACAGCGGCGGATAGGTTCTAATTCACATAAACTCATCAACCTCACCTATCATCCTCTACAAACGAACCACCTTCCCACAGAGTACCGGAAGCTACCTAAATTTAGTAATACATACATGGGTGATGAGCCTCGTATCGTATATAAATATAAGCGCAAGAATCAGATCTCTTGTTGACCACCCTGATTTAAAATTCTACGCCAGACCCTATGGGTTCGCTTCCTTGGCCTCAACAGGAGTATAATCTTGAGAGAACTTGTCAACCAAATAGGAGGCCAAGATGCGGCGTTGCTCCGGCGGTAGGGTCATAGCGGTGACAGTAAAACCTGACGACAGCGGGAGGTGGAACGACAGCTGGGGAACAACAACTGGACCATGATAGCGGTGATAGAATTGCAGAAACAATCAAGGTGGTGGGTTCCCATCATTCGTTTATGAAATCTGGCAAGACTAGAAAGGTTCATGGTAAAACCCCCACCAACTATGCCTAGAGTTGCACTTCAGCACTGTGATAGCAGACTTTGAGGTTTAGAAACCCCTTGGCCCGTCCCTGAAATATCGTATCATCCATCATCGTCCGTGTCTTGGCTCAGGGTTATAAAATAGCGTCGATCTATCTTTGGTCTGCGGCAGAACCTTCAGTGGGGGTGGAGCGGGGCGGCTGCGGCTGCGGGCTTACGACGATAACGAAGGGGTCAACTAGGGAACAACGATAAGACCAGACCTCCCAAACCCCGAACGAATTAGCCCAGGACACCAAACGTCGCAAGAACAAAAATAACAAAAACAACACACACAACACGAACAAACACTCAACAACACCAAATCCTCCGAAATCAAACACCACCCACCACAGGCTCACTTCCAACCACCCAGAGACCACCACAAACCCTACAATGGTCACGCAACCACAATGTACGTCCCCCCCCCCCTTTCGCCCCTCACAACCCCCCTCCAAGAACCCCCTCTAACCCCCTCCCCCAGGATCGACCCATCCCTCCGCCTCCGCCGCGCAATCCACACACACTCCCTCCCCATCACCCGGCGCATCCTCTCCACACACCCGCACCTCCTCCAAAACCCCGACCTCACCCCCTCCCCCCCCGGCCTCTCCAACACCTCCCTCCACCTCGCCGCCTCCCTCCCCTCCCTCCCCATAACCCAGCTCCTCCTCTCCCTGCGCCACGAAGCGGGCGGGATAAGCCTGAATACCCTCCACCAGACACCGCTCATGCTTGCTGCGGCGAAGGGACACGCGGAGATCATGCATGTCCTCCTCGAATCTAAGGACGCGGGGGGGATAGGGAGGCGGGATAGTCGTGGTCGCGACGCTTTGATGCTCGCCGCTGCGAACGGATTCGATACTTGCGTACAACTCCTGCTCACCCACGCCCCTCCCCCCACAGCGGCGGAATTGGCAGCAGACCCCCACCTCACTCCCGCCAGGGCGCTACTGCGGGCACAAGACGCGGACGGCAACACGGCGCTTCATTTCGCGAGTGCGAATGGGCAGTTATTGGTGCTGAGGATGCTGGTGGCGGTAGGGGCGGAGCATGAGAGAAGGAATGCGTGGAGTTGGACGGCGGTGAGTTATAGCGCGACGGTGGCGGCGGAGGTGTATTTTAGGGCGCTGGTGAGGGAGAGGGAGGAGAGGGAGGAGAGGGAGGAGAGGGAGGGGAGGGAGGGGAGGGAGGGGAGGCGGGGGGGGGGTTGGGGATTAAGGGGATGAGGTTGGTGGGGGATGAGTAGGGGGGGGAGGTATAGGAAGTGGGAAGGTGGAGGTGGGAGTTGATGCGGAGTGAGGAGATGTCGATATTGCAATAAGCGCTGGAGTTGGGGAGTCATAACGTCTACGAATATGAAGTTTTTGATTTGATCTATATTATAAGCTGCGGAGCATCCTCCATACTGTAACGTTCGCAATGGCGTAATGAGCACCATGGCGTAATGAGCACCAAAACCCAAGTCTTCCAACTTCAAATCAATTTTCAACTATAATACAACTAAGCATACCCAATTCTGAGCCAGGCAAATCATCTATAAGTAGGTCTTCCTCAATTTCCTCCACAATGCTGTCTTGTTCAACCCCTTGTGCCCGACCTTTGCCCGTGTTGGTACCGGTCTTATTTTCAATCTGTAAAACTGACTGGATTTCTTACGTACTCATTACAATAACTCCTTTCAACACTACTCCCTTGCCCTGCTTGTTAGTTCTACGTGCAGATAGAACACTTTGGGTATCTTGTAGCTCCTTACGTAACAGTGTGTTTTGTGTTCTTAGAGTTTCAGCAGTAAGTGTAAGTCGCGAGATATATTTGCGTGTTAGAGAGTCAAGCACACTTTGAGACTATAACATCAAATTAAGAGCTGCATTTGAGCTACGCAACTCTGTATCGCTGGATAGTTTGGTGTTTGTAGAGGTGGTGTAGTTGCATTTGCCAAGGTAATAGAAGAGCGAGTGTATAATGATGGTAAATGATTATATGCCTCTTGAGGGTCAAATGGGTAATACCTGCTCCTAACCATGCGCTTTGAATGTTATGTTGCGATATTGCCCGTAGCCTTGCTAAGAATCACCAATCGTAAAACGTGTTGGGTTTGTAGATGTCACTAGCAGCCTCACGTGCTGAGTCGAGTCGGAGTAGGAACGCGGCACTTCATCGGAAGGGCAGCGTTCAGTCTTCGTATCAATATAGGGCCTGACTACGTGATTATCCATAACGAGACTTCCTACTGCCCTGTTCCACCAAGGCTCCATTACAGTAGACTAAGTGCTGTCAATAGTTGCAGCTTTGAAAATCACAAGTGGTGAAGATGCGTTTATCTACAGAGATGCACTTAATGACTAACACCCACTCGTGACGGCTAGGAACAACTTTCCAATGTGTATGTACGCATAGTAGCATCAACTACTACACGGTTTGTTTGACTTGTACCAATTCCAAAACCTAATTCATCTATGTTGTAGATGTTACTCCGTACATAACGCATAGTTCTGTTCTTGTGACTTTGTTTGCAACACTATAAACCAATGTTCAAGTGCTCCATACGTTGCTTCTTGATGTCTCGCAGACTCAATTTGTCAAGTAGCAATTGTAGCAAGCTCTATATGACGTTGAATAAAGCGTTAGATCCATTCTTTGCTGGTAGGTATCGTCCAATTTGAGATGACGCGTCGTTGACGCATTTTGAATCCTGATTGCTTGCGCTAATTCCTTTATTCCTAGTGTCTAATAGGGCGTCCCATCAAAGAGAATTAGCAAATCCACTTAACCAAGGTACTCTCTTCAACTGCAGATAAAATTTACTGGTTTTGTCGCGCTTGCACTCGGGAATGGCTCCCTAACACGCGACGCGTCAAAGTCATCCGATCAACTTGAAAGTGTTCCGCAATAGCCTTTTAAGCTTGTAAATTGTCGATTCTGGTAAGCTATTATAGCTTCAGCCATACGAGCTTCTCGCCATTGTTTGTGGTTTACGAGTTTGAAGTTGCAAGGTGGGGGTTTTGGTGCTCATTACGCCATTGCGAACGTTATTGCAACTACAGTACTACCATTCTCGGCACGTGGGTCGTAGACCCAAAACTTCAGCCTTGGATTGCTCAATACGTACAGACACTCGCATGCATGCCCACACATACAAATCCACATCAACATAATTTCTCGTTTTACTAATAAATACCCCCCCCCCTCGTCCCCTTTCATAACATCATACCCGTCGGCCACTCGATGCCGACTATCAACATTCCATCCGCAATTCCACACACCTCAATACACGCCACCACCACATCATAGCCTCACCCAACCCCCATCCCTTCCTTCCAAATTAACGCCCATGAACTCCCCCTAGCCTACCCAGAGAAAGGGGCGGGCGGTTTGATAATCGTAAACGAAAGTAAAGTGGGTATATGTGTATCTCCAAATCCTGCGAGACAAACCAAAGGAAAGACCCCAAAAAACCCAGAACCCAGAACCCTACCCAATCAGACCTCCTACCGCCCGCGCCAAAAGCCAACCCCTTCGAAAGGAAACATACAAGTGCTGAGAAGCGGGTGTAGTAAGGTGCACTGAGATGGCGTCCAAGGTGATGGATCCCGCGCCGAGCTGGAAGGATTTGTTATGTACAGCGCAGGAAAGTGCATTACGGAGCTGACGCGCGACGCGTAGTTGATTGTCCGTTCCAGATCAAGTGGGACTCGTAGTAGTAGTTGGAGGGTTCGCCATCCCAAAGGAAAATAAGATAAAAAAACAATAACAAGCATGAGAATATCAAGGCCGTTAAATGATGCTGCCAAGAAAAGGAAAATGAATGTCGTAAAACCCGGCCAAGGAAAGCAGACCCCACCTGTCTTCCTATCCCCTTCCATAACACCCTTGAAATAATCGTGAAATGGCGGCCGGGGGATGTACCCAGATCGGATCATATAAGTCATATTTAAAATCCAGAACCGTCTCGGTTCCTTCCTTTTACCCATATCCCCCCTCTTTCTTGACTTTATTCATCCGTCTGCATGAAACCCCCCTATCCTTCTATTTTGCAGCCCCCTAAAAAGGGGACGCGGAAGTAGCGACTGCGACGAGACGACGAGACCGAGAGGTGGCACGGCAGGTAGGACAATAGGACAAAAACGTCCTAATACGCAGCTGCCGCGTTATTCCTACTCTCGCCAGTCGCCACGGCCACAAGCGCCTCTAGGCGTAACATCCCATCATCAGCCTTAACTACTTCCACCGGCGGCGGCAGCGTCACGGCCCCGTACGCCGAATACGCCTGCCCAATCGCCGCCGGGATCCCCCCTTTCTGCCCCTGCCCCTGACCCGGCCCATTCCCCTCTCGCCCCTGCTCCTGCCGCCCCTGCTCCGCCGCCGCCCGCTGCCCCTCCCGATCGCGCTCGTCCCACCCCCCACCGGGTTGCTGGACGATCACGGGCCCGTAATCCCCATGCCCCGCCATCCGCGGCGTCCCGGGAATGCCGTTATCGGAACTACTCGACCCCCCCTCGGGAGACGGGCGCTGGCGTTGCGGCAACGGTCCCGCGTACCAGCCCTGCCTCTTGGAGTCGCGTGCGGTCAGGGGCGGGGCACTAATGTGGTGGTTCGGGTGCCGGGGTGGGGGTTCTTGGGCTGGGTAGGTCGTAGCGCTGAAGCTTACGCGTGGCTGGGGGCGAGGGGATACCTGTGACTGTTGCGCTGCACGCTCCTGCATGGCACGTGTAGCGTCTGTGGCCCAGGCGCTGGCATCATCGGGGCGGGATGTTTGCTGGGCAATCTCGAGGCGCGTGAAGTTATGTGGGAGGCTGGAGTCCCATTGTCTGGCTGCAGCAACAGAGCGATCGTCAGACCAGGCGTATTCAGGGCGGGTGGGCGTGTCAAGTTCCATTGGCGAGAGGTTACGGCGGGGTGGGGTCACGGGACGTGATAGGAAGGATTCGATTCCGGGGAGGGTGATCTGACCACTGATTGCGGAGGCGACTGATGGGGGAGGAGTAGGCCGTTGGGAGGTAGAAGACGTAACACTTTGCAGCCTACTAGTAAAACCTGGCTGCGACTCAGGGTGATGCCACGTGCGGCGGCGATAGTCATCGGCGGCACTGGCAAGGGAATCCCGCCTCGACCATGACGGGCCTATTGGGGAGGTTGGGCTCGCCATAATGCTTCCTGATGGCAAGAAGGGCTCTTGGCTGCCAGAGCTCAGTGGTGCCAGCGTCGGCGGTCCAAAAGACGATGGGCTAAAGCCTTGAGGCCCCAAAGGGTTCTCTGAGGACGGCACGGATAGGCGACGAGCAGCCATCCGACGTTCGGAGTACATGCTGGCTGTTCTGGAGTGGCCGCGGACGGGTGATCCCATGGCCGAGCTCCACTGCGAACTGTCATACCCCCCCGAGTACCTGGACGACGTAGGTGTGTTGAAACCACTATTGACGAAACCACTGGGCGACACATAGTGTCCCTCCCTGGACGCATAGCTATCAAACGAAACCCGTGACCGCGGCTCGCCAGCCATGATGAGGGGTGCCGGCCTGCGACGTGGATCCTCCCGGCCCGCATAGATGGACCCGATGCTCGATGCTGACAGGGAATTCCTTGTATGGCCACGAGGCTTCCCGGGCTGACTGCTCGACGTGCTCGCTCGCGAGCGGTTACCGGCCGGCCTTACACGGTCAGACCGTATCTGGCGCTGGAATCTCGTGCTGCTGGCTGCGAGCGAGTCGCCGGGGATATCCTCGTTTACGTGAACGGTCTGGGCATGTTGTCGCAGGTTATCCAGCCGCGAGAAGCGCCGTGAACAGTGGCACTGGAAGGGGCGTTCCCCCGTGTGTTTACTACGTAACATGTTAGCTTCGAGGTTCGCTAGCGCATGGCTAAAATAAAATGAGTTTGACGAACCGTATATGCCGTGCTAAATGCTCGCTCCTAGTAAAACTCAAATTGCAAGGTGGGTATTCTGTACAGAAAAATCGTTGGGATTTCTTCTTTTTCGTCAACCGCGTCCCATCCGCAGCTATGCTATCTTCATCCGACCCGTCGTCGTCTCCATCTGAGTCATCCATATCTACATCTTCGGAATCTCGAGACTTCGTCGAGTACTGTGAGCTCTCGCGCTTTGCGGCCTTTTTGAACTCCGAAGTGGTGGCGGCCGATGAGGGTTCCCCTGCCTTGGAATCGTTCTGCGACGGTAATGCCGCGAAGCTAGTCTTGGTAGGTGTCTTTGCATCGTCCAGTTTGGACGTTGATGGTCCAGCAGAACTTGGTCCAGCAGAACTTGGTCCAGCAGAACTTGGCCCAGCAGAACTTGGCCCAGCAGAACTTGGCCCAGCATTATGTTCTGTCGTGGCCGGCTGCGCGTCTTCTTGCTTGAAAAAAGGCCTCGTGGGGGTCAGGACCGCATTGACAGATTGAAACGCGGCCATAACCAGGTGTATGTATTGTATCGCCACCCAGCTGGAGATGGGTTGCCTCGCTTCCGGGTCGTGTAGTTTATCCCGCCTGCGACCGGACGAGATGGGACGATCTTATGGCACGAGGTCGAAGGTTCGAGGAGCGTCTCCTGAGGTATAAGTCTTGTCGCTCAGTGGGTCAAGAGCTGTGGGAGCCACATGTAGGTGTAGGCTGGCATATCCAAGTCAACCGCGGGACCAGGATCGGCCTCAACGCAGGGCTGGCGAACCTTGGCTCGATGTTGGTAGGTACGGGGTTGGGTGTAGCTTTGTCAGCGCCTGCCTACGGCTGACCGTACTTGTTGTTTATGACAGGCTCGACGTGTGGAATGACGTTCAACAGAGGGTGTTTCGGGACGCTGTTGGTGGGTCGTGGTGGTCAGAACACGGACGAGTTTTGGACGTTTCAGGTTGATTTGGCCGAGGGAACCAACATTACACAGGAACCGCCGAGAAGTAGGATGAATGGTGGTATCGTCGGTCGCGACGGAGCGGCGATGGACGAGAGCCAAGTTTCGTAGTCACAAGCGGCAAGTCGCAAAGGATTGGCGAGGCAGGTCGCAAGGCAACGATGGCCGACGCGGTTATACCGAGTTTGCTGTCGTTTGGGTATACAGCGTATCGTGACAGCAAGTGTGATGGGCAATGGTGGATATGATGGGTATCGAAGGATAGTGATGTATAATGATGGCAGAATAGGTTGATATTTGAATCAAAAGATGAAATAATGTCGTCAAGATAGAAAGAGGGAGTAAGTAGGGTAGGGTAGATAGATATAGGTAGGCTAGTAGACAGGTGGGTGGGTAGAGGTGAAGTGATTCAGAGCGATGGCCTAACCCAGCCCTTCTACCTTTCAACAGTAGATGTGGTGGGTAGTTCGGAATAGCTACCAAGAGAAGAGCGGCGTGGTTTTTTAGGCTCAGGAATCAGTGGCACCGAACCGTGGGCTCGAACGATGTCTTAGGTGCCACAATAGGATGGTACGTTTTGATGTCGTAAGACGGCTAGGGAAGGGTTGATCGAGGGCGGCGAGGACAGGAGGTGCGGCGAGGGGAACGGTGAGGGACCAAAGGGTTCGAGCAGGAAGAAGGGTGAATGAGGTGATGATGGAAGAATGTAGATGGTTGGTACGGGTAGTTTGTTTGTTGGCAGTTGGTGATGTGTAGTATGGCTTTGTTTGTTGGTAATGGTGGTAAGTGGCAACGACGGCGACGATGGTAACGTTCCAGGCCTATATTCCCCCATGTTCGTTATGTTCCCCATGTCCGTTATGGTATGCGTACTGTATGTATGCTCCCTATATTCCCTGGATTCATTCCCCATGTTCCTGCCCTTTCCTCCTTCCGGGTTACATGTTCCTACATGTTCCTACATGTTCCTACATGTTCCCAAAAGGGGTGTGTTGATAGACAGGGCGCCAAGAACGGCGAAGTGCGGGTGATGGGCGAGATCTGGGAAAGAGGCGTGGCAAAGATGAGGGGGGGATGAGGGGGTTGAGGGGGGTTGAGGGGGTTGAGGGGGGTTGAGGGGGGGATGACGAGGATGGAGGGGGGAAGGGGCGAACGAGGGGCGTTGACGAGGGGTACAACTACAACAAAGTCGATATACTCGAACGACACTGGATCATCCTCGATATTGACGACTAGGCCGGGTGGGGATTTTATCGTCGACACACATATGTTGGTAAGTAGACACTCAACTGGCTGATTGCTGTTCTACAGGGCGTTGTTGTCACGATGACATACACTCGCTCGGGATGACATTAGAGGACATTGGATGTTGGATGACATTAGATGTTAGATGATTAGAGGACATTAGAGGACATTAGAGGACATTAGAGGACATTAGAGGACATTAGAGGACATTAGAGGACATTAGAGGACATTAGAGGACATTAGAGGACATTAGAGGACATTAGAGGACATTAGATGTTAGATGACATTAGATGACATGAGATGTTAGATGACATTAGATGACATTAGATGTTAGATGACATTAGATGACATGAGATGTTAGATGACATTGACGAATGTATCATATATCATAACCACACCAAAATGAACGAATCCAGCCCGCCTCGTCGCTGACATCGCGCACTTCCCTCCCCCCCGAGAATAATGGAGTAGAGTAATTATTACGGTCTGGGCGGCTGCTCTTGCCTCGTCTGCCGGCTTTTCTGGCTGTGGGAGCTCAGGCACGCATGGGGATGGGATACTGTGCCGCTCGCGGTACGCACGACGCCGTACCTGGCGATAAGCACCCCGTCGTCGACGCCAGCGCTGCCGTTGCGTTGGAGGGTTCTGGACTGGCCGGATCAGTGTGCCGTTCGCATCATCATCATCATCGTGAGGCTGACGACTATCCCCCCCCAAAAAAGCAGCAGTAGTCCACATTTACTCGATGCAAGGCACCGTGTGCTGCACACCACAAATAGCCCCCGCATTAGCTCCCCCACGCACACCAGGCCCGCCCCCTTCCCCTCGGCCATACCCTCGCCCACGCGTTACCCGGCGGTGTCTCGTCTCTCAATTAACCCAAATGCATGCGATGCGTGCGTGCATGCATGCTAATGCAGAAGAAAAAAAAGTTCAAGAGAATCAGTCATAAACAAATACATCACCCCATTTTTTCAACGCCCGCACACACGTCATCATCGAGGCATTTCCCCTGACCCTTCCTTCCAAATCAACCAGGCACAAATCAACAGACTAGTCACCTGCCTATGATCACACCCCCGCACGTGCTTTGGGACACCCCGCAGCTATGATGTGTGGCTATTTAGCAAACCCACAATAGCTACACTTTCACGTAACTTCGCGCCGGACCCCCCGACGGCGTTGTGGGTGGGGATTATCAAAAGAGGCGGCGTGGTTTTGTGAGCCGTGGAACGATTTGTTGGGATATCTAGGGTGAGAGTGGGGGGCCGTTTATGTTTAGTATGATGGCAGACTGGATGGAATTGACGGCGCGAAATAATCCATGATGCCTATATTACAGTAGGGTCAAGGGGAAAAGGAAAGTCTCCAGGTCCGGTACCGTAGCGTTGTGTCCATTCGGACGATCATGATGATGACTCTTTGGTTATTTCAGGAACGCCTCAGAACTATAGCTACGCAAAGTGTTGTGATGCTTCGTCATTTCGGTGGTCTGATTCCTTCCTGTGGGGTTAAAAGCTCCCTCCCTTCTACGTTTCCTTTCTCTCTCCTTCTTTGCTTTCTTTCTTCCCTTCATCATCGTGGAATATAATGGTTTTCAGAAGAAATATGACTCACTGCATAGCTCTTTCATCTTCACCAATTCTCGGAATATGGCCTGTGACCGAGGACGAACTCAGCTGTTCGCTGGGCTGGACTGCCGTGTCGCCGGTTTCTTTTCGTCTCTTTTGCTAATCCCTATATGGATAGCCCTTCCACCTTCACCAATCCCAACAAATGGGCTAGGGATGAGGGCCGGACTCGACTGATGCCGGGGATATCGACTGCTTGCTGTTCGGGGTCGGTAGGTTCCAGGAGGGATTGTCGTGTCGTCGGTTTCATTTCGTCGCTTTTGCCCCTTTCGTCTTGTCGCATGGGGCTGTGATCAAATCACATCATGCCAACGCAAGCAACGCACGAATACAGGTGGACTATCAGGAGTCTACGCTATCGCGAGCCCTCTAGTAGACATCTCAAGTGGCAATTGTCTTCCATAGATAGTTCGCGTGTTTGCGGGGCAGCCGCGGTCCCCTGTTGCCTAATCCCGTTCCACTGTTCGACGGCCGTAACAAGGACCCATCAATTACTCTCGACTATAGAACCCCTAGGTAGATGTGTACTTTATACGGACCCAAGAGACGATGTGAGGATTAAGCTGAGGAGAATAGCGGTGGTCGAAATGCACTTGGGGCGTTGATGACGCAGATCGTGAACACGAGTACTTCTGCACGTCTAAACATATGTCAGGGAGCCCGCTGGGCTGGCTTCTCTACAGTCTAGACAGCTGCTCGACCAATAAACAGGCGTTTTTATAAAACAGATCCAGGATGAGCACTGTGAGCATAGTTGATCTCAGCTGGGCTAGAGATCATCATGGGGCTAGAGGAGGATTATTGAACAGGCGTGTTATTAATGATAAATAGAAGTGGTAACGTATTTCACGTACGAGTTGGCCACACGGACGAGTTGGCCACTAAACTATTACTACTACTACACCACCACCACCCTACATAATGACCCTTAATCAATTGTAATTGATTCCTGGCGCCTCTCGCACGTACGGGCATTATGTCCCATAATACCACATGTGCCACAGCGCCGTTGCCGTCTTAGAACACACCTGCCGACTAACGTAAGTCGTGGCGTAATGGAACGTGTGGCGTAATGGAACGCTTTCTCAAGACCTCTTAAAAATGTACACAATTCAACAATGGTCCGTTGAAAAAGCCTTCACTCAGCTGAAGTTAATACTAAAGTTAATCAAGCAGTATTAGGAGTCCAGTTAGGATTGTATAAATCTTCGTACGAGGCTGCAAAACAGTTAGGGCTTCCTAGGAATACTGTGACGCATTGCGTTAACGGAGGCTTGTCACGTTCTCAAGCCCGCTAACAACAACAGAAACTTTCGTACGAACAAGAGAATGTACTTCTTAAGTGCATTAAACAGCTAATGATTAGTGGCTATTCCCTATGGCATCAGTTGTTGAAGGAAATAGCTGAGGAGCTTCGTACGAAACCAACCTACAATTTAGACTCTAAGGACGCCTTATTGATCTTTAGCTAGCAAATTATATACTACTTGGCCTTCTTGCAATTCCTCCTGCTTCGACTTACTTTGCATTCCCTTACTTTGAGTCAAACCACTTGGCCAACCTGTTAGTCTCACCACTTGACCCCTGTGGTATAAAGTATATGCTTTGGAGCCTGAACTACTATACCTTGTCCTACTGCTTCGAGTATCGAAGTCTTCACATTATACTTCGGATACTTCTGCAGACTTGAAGGTCAGCCTCAGTTCGAACTGTCCTTACATAGTATTAGCCCAGTAACTAAGGAGTGATGTCATGTAATGAATCATAGAGGGTTGTAGAGATATGCTATGTGGTCATATCGGCCCAGTAACTAAGGAGCAATGACGTGTAATGAATCATAGAGGGTTGTAGCAATCATTGAGTAGTATTGCTCTTGTTGTTGGTGTGACAAGCCAAAATATGTATAGTGACTTATAGGTTTGAGGAGGAGATTTCTAAATTTGCTCTTGAGTTTGATAGCAAACTGAGTACAACGAATGTCAGTATGACACCTCCTACTACTGTCTCTGAGGGCGTAGCCCCTAGTAAGGGCTTATCACACCAACAACAAGAGCAATAAGTGCGACATTTGCAGCAAATCAAAATCCAATAGGCACTTGCCATATGGACAGCTGAAATCGACTCCAGTACCAACAGGAGCATGGAAATCTATAGCTTTGGACTTCATTGTCAAGCTACCACCCTCTCGGGACCCGTTAACAGGAGTAGTATTTGTTATCCTGGTTATTACGGAAAGACTCACGAAATATGGGGGTGTCCTCATATTGAAAGTAGTCCTTAAGGAAGGGTTCTACCCATCAAAGGGCTTCTCCTCTAAGATATGAGGATGTCCATAAGGCGTAACTCTCATTGGTTGGAAACTTGTCATCATTGAAGTGCGTGTATAACACTTCAAGTTCTCTGCAGTTGCCGGAATAGGTGTCAGGCAACTTGACGCATAGGGTTTCCCGGAGTTCTGTGACGACTGGTTCAGCATCAGGCATGTCTTCATCATCAGGTGGGATAGCCTGAGAAGGCGTTGGCGTAGCTGGAGTTGGTGTAGCTGGGGTTGGTGCAGCTGTGGCAGCCCCGACCTTTCCCTTAGATTCTACAGCCGACATGTTGCTTTGTGTATAAGCCGGTACCTTGTAGAAGTGGTGCTCAAAGTGTGCTCAAAGTGTAACACTGACTTCTAAACAATAGAAGACACAGAGGTTTCTTGTGTAAGGTTGACTTGACAGAGGAGGCAGGGGATTAGACACAAAGGCTTTCCAAGTAACACGTTACAGTATTGTAAAGAATACTATATTGAGTTGAGCACGAAGCTCCTATCTAAGGAAATACTATCTACTTATATAGTGGCGTCGTGCCAAAGGGATATCTGTGGATAACATGGATAACATAGTATCCATGATATCCAATGTTATCCATCATGTGAGGTTGTAGCCGTAAGTGCTAGCCATAGCACTAGCACTTAGCCGTAACATCGTGCTTCATTTAAATGTGAAAGAGCTGTTGTAAGCCTCTTTTTCAATGGTCCAAAAATTGCAACATCAAGTGGCTGTAACACATGTGAAGTATGTGGCGGTAATATAAGGATTGATATACGATTTTGTATACAGTGAGAAATGAAATTCCCACTTATATGACTGTCATGGCCGTCGCAAATAAGAAGGCGTTGTTGTTGTCCTCCATTTGCTTTTGCACGTGTTGCAGGCTCAAATACACGCTTGAGCCACTCAAGTCCATGTAAATTGCTTGTCCATCCTTTTGAATTTGCAGAGAAGTGCCACTTATTTATCACATCTTGTGAAATCCAACTCTGTAGTACATTTTGGCCTTTGAATATAACAAGAGGGTTGATAGTTGTGCCGTCCATGCAAATACACTCGACTGCAGAAACCCATTCTTGTCGACCTTGATGTGCTTGATGATGTGTACGAAGTGTAGACTCAATAATAATCCGTGTAGATTCCATTGTTCCGATTGAGAATCCCGTCTCATCCATGTTATACACATTGTATTCTTTGATGTCTAGACGTGTTATAAGGTCCTTATACACGTCAAACCATCCTTGTACGACCTGTTTTGTAACTCCACTCATCCTTTGCACTTCAATTCGTCTTCCTAGTCATACTTGTAGATGTGGATGTCGTTTAATAAAGCGTGGAACCCAATCTTGTCCTAATGGAAGGTGTGGTATAGGTTGAAATTGTTCGTGAAGTTGATTGTGAAGTTGGTCGTGTAAATTAAAAACCTGGCAATGGTCTGCTCGAACCTCTTCTGCAATTTCTCGTAGTATTCGGTGGCTAGGTGCATACCTGCTACTTGTTAGCTCTCTAATCCACTTTAAGAGTGTTTCTTATTGCTTTTTGATAATAGTTGTTGTTTTTGACGCGCTTCTACGCGTGTGAGGCCTCCATTCATACGACGACGGATAGATTGTTCTGGGAGGTCAAGTGCTTTGGCAGCTGCGTACACTGACTTATATTGTTTGGAATGAATAGCTAATATAGGTTGATCTATTGCAATATTACGATCTAGCTTCTACGCTCTTTCGATGTACCATAATGGAGTTGGGTAGGTAAGATGGTAAGTTTGACGGGGTGGTTCTAACCCCACTACCGCCAGTACGCCATTACCGCCAGTACGCCACGACTTACGTTACCACTTCCTTTGTACTACTAGAAACAGAGGAATACTTATCCCTTTCCCATTTACACACACAATTGCTATAGCCTATTCCCGATTGCTAGGCTGGACTTCCTTACCTCTGCTACATTGATTGGAGTATGTAACAACCAAAGTAGAGCTAATAACGCCCATTTAGAAGCCTGTCTCGTCGAAGTTGTAGAAATCACAGTCTTAGATGCCCGTATTTCAACTTCATATTCTAGACAAGTTGAAACCACGCCCTAATAAGCTTAGGATCTTCGCACAAGGCTCTTTTGGAAGTCATAAACGCGATGCCCATCGTGTCCCAACGCGATGCCCACTGCGAATTAAGTATATAATTTGCCATATCTTCCACACTAGAAGGCTGAGGTGCAAACCCTCTTACGTCCATATCTAATATGTTCCGAACAATCACTTCCTCTTCTAGTTCAGTCAATTTATGACAATTGGCTTTGGTTTCAGCGCGAGGTGTTCAGCCGGCCATTCTATTAGATAGTGTCGCATACGGGACTTTGTAGATTTTGGCAGCAGAGCGACGACTAAGTTTTTTTGATGAACGAATAGATTCGATAGCTAGAACGATTCGAGCTACTTGGGTTTGAAACTCCATTTGTGGTTGTGGAAAAAACGCGTGTTGAAGTCGAATGGTAGTGGGATGGGGGAAAAGTGATCGACTCGGTGTACAACCACGTTAGACAATTTTTAGCAGACGAGAATGCAAAAAGGAGCGTGGGGGAATACAGGGACGTGTATACATCTGCGAATGGGACTTCGAAAAGCGAGCGGTGGGACACACTGCGAGCAGACCGTGGACAGCCACGAGGCTGCGTTGGGGATGGTCTAGTCCAAAATCACTTTCGTTGCTTCGTCTTCTATCTCAGCCCCTAGCTTCTCCCTCCTACTTAGAGCCCTATTATGGCCTACGCCCAAACTCCCCAGGGCGTTGGTTTTGATATCCATCCCCTCAACCCGACCAGGTCGGCCAATGCTAGTTCATGACTCCTACGACCCCCTTTCTATAGACAAACAATATTCTGCCCGTCCGCCAGCTTACCAGTATGATGGCCTCAGACCCGAAAAGTTGCTAGCGAGCGAGTTGTCGCCCGTAGACTCCTTCTTGCGCTGGCCCGTCAACTGCAGATGTCAGTACTAACCTCAAACCAGGGAACTATCTTCGGGACATATAGATGGGAGAGGAATATACCTCAAGCTGTACAGAACGGTGAATATGCACCAACCAATCCACGTAACTCTGCGCCTCATTATTCCGATCCTCAATCAACAATCTCGCAAACTCATACTCCGCCCCATCCAATCCTTGCCTCGCCAACTGCACCGTGAGCGCCTTGCTCCCGCGGACCGTACGCAGATACTCGAGGATATTGCGGACCTGCACGTTAAGGTGCGTCTCCAGCACTGGCAGCGAGCTCACGAACGGATTCAGCGCCTTGAGAGAGTTCATGCCCTCGCCGAACAGGTCGACAAGCAGGTTCGGCGACGTCTGTGCGTGTAGCCAGAGGTAGCAGTTCTGCCCGTTGTCGAGGAGGTAGACGCCACCCGGCTCAACGCGCGAGAAGGATGCGCGCGCTGCGGGCGGCATGCGCAGGTGCGAGGTGGCGTCGGGGAAGCCGTCGGCGGGATCGAGGTTGTGAATGGGAATCATGCGGGGGTAGAGGTAGAGGGAGAGCTCGAGGGCGCCCATTGAGCGCAGCATGCGCATGTCTTGAACGCGGCGGTCGGTGGGTTCATTTCCGCCTTTGAGCGCGCGCGACTTGACTAGGGCGAGCATGTACATGCTGAACTCTTTGAGATTTTCGGGCAGGACGAGCTGCCCAGGTGGGTGAGAGCCGGAGAAGTTCTTGCGGTAGCCGGCGAGGATATCGACGTTCTTCTCGGCGATGCTGGCGCGGATGTCTTTTAGGGTGTTTGTGGCCATCTTTGTCGCAGCTTCCTTGGCGATGAGGTTGTAGACTGCATCCTGGTCGACGAACTTCATGCAATCCTTTGCGTTGTCACTGACGCTCGCGATAACGTTGCAACAGCGCACGCGACGCTCTCCGCTAGCGGTTGTGTAGAGGAGGGCGCTTTGGAAGTGCGCGTCGAGCTTGGAGTCGAGCTTCCCATCGTAGCTGAACAGCACACCCATCGCCTTGTCAGCGTCAATGACACCGAGCTCCACGTCCGCTCCAAAAGTGTGATGAATGAAGTTGCCGTGATAGGAGGCGACCTGGAGGCCGTTCGAGCAGCGCACCTTCAGTAAAGCTTGGTATCCAGTTTCGCGAGTGACCGTGTGCTTAATCTCCTGTGACAGCTTGGCGGTGTCGCGGGGAGCGAGGAAGTTGGGGTAGTAGAATGTTTCACCGCCCGTAGAAGCGGACACTTGGCCTGCAGTTGTGTTAGCATGCTATTTGCGTCCATAATGCGGAATCCATACCAATAGTAGCGATATCTAAGTAGCCTCCCCCTGGCGCCGCAAGGAAGAAGTCGACACCAATCCCGCTTTGGAGCATGCTCTCTGCGGTCTTCTTCCACAAAGGATTTTCTGTGGTCGCAATCTTCTTGTCAGCTTCTCCATTTGCTATCCTGTTTTCATCTCGCAGGAAGAGTCGTCCGGGACCCCACGTTGGTAAAGCGGCTAGCGAGCATACGATCTTCCCTCCCGTCTTCTCGAGAGCTGCCACAGCGGCGTTCAGCGTTGGGAGCAATGCTGGCTCGGGGTTCTTGATCGTGGAGAAGAGGGTGGGAAGGTGGTTTAGTAATGATGTGATAATGTCCCTGATATAATGTTAGGCCTTGCCATCGCGAGTAACGTTGCTACATACTTGGAGTCATAGGGATCTACAAAGAATCCGTCGCTCATGGGCACGAAGGGATCATCAACGTCTGGCATGACTATCATTTGGGCTTGCTCAAGAGATGACTAAAAATGTCAGCTCGTTCATGGTGGTGGTGGAAAGTGTCCTTACGTTCACGTTGTAAAAGTGAATCTCTTTATCGTATGTGATAAAACCGACCTTGGCTCCAGGCGGGATTGTCCTGTGTGCATTCGGATCTGCCTGCTCATCTTCACTTGGAGCCTGGACGTCCTTGCCGTATAGTGAACTCATAATACCCTCGCAGAAAGCTTCTAGAAATCCCTTATTGTACGACTCTTGTGTGACATCGATTATAAACAGCCACCTGATGCCTACCGGCTCCTTCGACCAGTATTCTTTGGGAACCATAAACTCCACAGTTCCTCTCATTAACTCAGGACGTTGTTCTCTGTCAACGCGGGCCCCTTGTGGGTTCGTTGCACAAAAGTATTCTGGCGGGACATCATTGGGATACGTGCACATGTTACACACGAACTTGTTGCCCCCTTGTCGGAAAACCATAAATGGGTTAATATATGCTCGGCATCTATGGCAGCGGGGAGGTCCAGCTTTGCCAAAGTCCAATACCGGTATCTCGAGCTCGCCAGCCTGCAGCGGTGCCAACGGTTGTAGGACGAGTCCCAGGGGGAGCCCAGTTGATTTTAGCCCTTCGGCGCTTGAGGGTATATTATTGACCGAAAGCCGTGTGAATTTCGGAGAGGAGTTGCCTTGGTCGAACGCCACGAAAGGGACCACTGCTGGCGGTGGCAGGTGATGCTCGAATGTCGGGTAAACGTTCTCCAGATAATACTGCGCTACAACGTCTCTTGACCTTGGAATGCTGGGAACTTGATCCGGGTCAACTTTCCCTTGCGCCGAAGCTTGCACTGGGTCACCACTGAATACTGCGTCGCCCGAAGGTCTGGCATTTGGGTCGACCATAGAAGGGTTGGCAGGGTTGAATGGAGGGCTGGCCTGCGCTGGGAATTGAGACATGAGTGGAGTGACTGGTCGGCTCATGTGCTGGCCATGTATTGATGGGTCGGCATTGAGGAAATTGGTTTGCGAGGCGCCAGCGGGCGGGATGCCATTGAACGCAGCGGAAGAGCCACCTGGCGCTTCCAAAGAATGGTATGCGTGGCGGTCCTTCTTCTTCTTCCTCCCGTGAGCCGCGGGTTCCTCGAGCCCAAGTCCCCTCATCTGGTGCGCCAGACCACCATCTTGGGGCTTTCCACCTAAATGCTGCGGAGCAAATCCCTGTCCTTGCCCTTGTGGATATGGCGAGCTCGGACTAAACTGAGTTGGAGGAGAAACGACTTCGTTGTATTGCTGGTATTGCTGGAACTGCTGGGGTTGCTGATACTGTTCGCCATATCCCGACCCAGCTTGCTGGTAAGGCGACGGTGCAACCGGCGGTCGAAACTGATTCGGTGCTTGGTTCGGAGGATCCTCCCCTGGCTTACCGGCCCCTAATGCGTGGTAGAGCTGGTAATCAGACATCTGGCCATATACCACAATGGCCTTTGGATGAAAGAGGGGTTCTGGATGGACCTGAAAGCGAGTGGAATAACGTCGTAAATCGCAACACTACAGAGCAACAAATTCTCAATTCTTAGAGGCCCTCGATGAGTTCATGGCCAAAGTGTCGTGGGTGGTAGGGAAGTAAATAAAAATTATGGCGGGGAGATCTTGGATGGGATATCAACACCTGTACTTTTTGGGGGTACAAAGTACACATCGAGGTTCAACGCTAACATGGCAGTACCCCTGTCATATCGGTGTCTGGACGCGACGTGCTCGAAAGCTTGTGGAAATGACAGGACTGTTATATAATTTATTGCGCCAACCTCAGTAAATCCCATTGTTCGACATCAACACAGCTCTTCTATTTCACCACAAGGCCGGAATAGGATATTGCGCTATACTATAAGCGCCTTTATGCGGCAGGATGAACGGCTAGAAAGTCGGCGTGGATTCTTTACTTCGAGCCTTCAGAGGTGACATCAACACAATCGACCTCTTTCGGGCAGCCACCCGCACCATGTTCAACTTCACTCCATTGGCAGGCGCCCAGTCCGAGAGCAGCGCATCGCAGTCTCTTCTCGAGCTCGATGGCGGCGTGAAGGTTCTTATCGACGTCGGATGGGACGAAACATTCGACGTAGAGAAGCTCCGGAATCTCGAGAAGCACGTTCCGGCAATCTCCATCGTCCTCCTCACCCACGCAACAGTCGGCCATTTAGCAGCATATGCCCATTGCTGCAAGCATTTCCCTCTGTTTACTCGAATACCGATATATGCCACAACACCTGTCATCTCGCTCGGGCGCACCCTTCTCCAAGACCTGTATGCATCAACACCACTCGCATCGACCATCATCCCTTCCTCATTGCTCTCCGAAACGTCCTATTCGTACTCAAAACCAGGCTCTGGGGAGGATGATTCACACATACTTCTACAGTCTCCGACTCACGAAGAGATTGCGAACTACTTTTCCCTCATTCACCCATTGAAATACTCGCAACCCCACCAACCGCTTCCTTCACCATTTTCGCAGCCACTCAACGGCCTCACAATTACAGCCTACAATGCAGGACATACGCTAGGTGGGACTATCTGGCACATCCAGCATGGTTTAGAATCGATAGTCTATGCTGTGGACTGGAATCAAGCAAGGGAGAATATTCTGGCTGGTGCGGCATGGCTGGGCGGGGCTGGTGCTGGCGGAGCAGAAGTCATTGAACAACTGCGAAAACCTACTGCTCTTATTTGTAGCAGCAAGGGTGCTGAGCGGATAGCTTTGGTTGGGGGGCGGACTAAAAGAGATGAGGCGCTTTTGGATATGATTAAGTCCGCCATCGCCAAGGGAGGAACTGTTCTGATACCGACGGACTCCAGTGCGCGGGTACTGGAGCTGGCATACCTGCTAGAGCACGCATGGCGCAAGGACGCATCGAACCCAGAAAGCCCGTTTCAGAATGCGAATTTATACCTGTGCAGCAAGAATATCGGAGCAACGATGCGCTATACTCGAAGCATGTTGGAATGGATGGACGATGGGATTATCAGAGAGTTTGAAGCCATTGCTGGCGGCATTGATAGACAGCCAAATAAGCCCTCCGAACCAAGGCAGGCTGGTGCTGGTCCTTTCGACTTCAAACATTTGCGCCTGATTGAGAAGAAAGGGGGGGTCAGTGCTGTCCTTAACAATGACGCGACAAAGGATGGAAAGCCGATGGCAAAAGTTATTCTTGCAAGTGACAGGTCATTGGATTGGGGATTTTCGAAAGACATCTTGCGAAATATAGCTGCTGATAGCCGCAATCTGGTTATTTTGACAGAGAAAATGAGTAAACTGCCTGATGTGGGACGAAGCTCGGGAGTCTCGAGGACGTTATGGTCCTGGTGGGATGAGAGGAAGGATGGCGTTGCACTCGAGCAAGGCTCTACGGGAGAGAGCTTCGCGCAGGTATATGGTGGCGGGCGAGAATTGACACTTGCGGATGTAAAGCGAGAGGCATTGGAGGGGAATGAATTGCTGTCGTACCAGCAATGGCTTGCCACTCAGCGTCAGTTGCAAACGATAACTCAACCAGGAGGACCAACCGCTTTGGACACATCTGCAGACGCAGTTGATGATGCTTCATCTGTGTCATCATCGGACAGTGAAGAATCCGAAACAGAGCAGCAAGGAAAGCCTCTCAATATCTCCACAGCGTTAGGTCAAGCCGGAAGGAAGAAGATGGGCCTCAGTGATGAAGACCTGGGCATCAATATTCTCTTACGTCGGAAAGGCGTTCACGATTACGACGTACGGGGCAAGAAGGGCCGTGAGACGATGTTCCCGCTGGTTATTCGACGGAGGCGAGCAGACGAATTTGGGGATTTGATTCGACCCGAGGAATATCTCAGAGCCGAAGAGCGAGATGAAGCCGAGGCACAAGATTCGCGCCAATCTGGCAAATACGATACCCAGGACACGCTTGGAAAGAAGCGTAGGTGGGACGACGTAGTTACCAAAGCGGACCGACGACCGTCAGATAGTGCAAACAAACGACAGCAGACTGACTTCAACGATAGTGGGGATATTCCTGCAGTCAACGACGGCGGATTTGCCAATGGCGTTTTTGATGAAGATGCTATTGAAGATGAAGTTGATGTCGTTGGACCCGCGAAAGCTATTTTCTCAACAGAATCAATCACCGTTAATCTTCGCCTGGCGTTCGTCGATTTTGAAGGGCTACACGACAAGCGAAGTCTTCACATGTTGATACCCCTTATCCAGCCAAGAAAGCTGATCCTGGTATCGGGGTTGAAGGAAGAGACTTTGGCTCTAGCACTTGACTGCCGTCGATTACTAGGGGCACAAATTGGGGGTGGAGGCGATAAGCAAGTTGATGTGTACACTCCGGAGGTTGGCGCAACTATCGATGCAAGTGTCGATACTAATGCATGGGCTGTTAAGCTCACACATAGCCTCGTCAAGCAGCTTCGATGGCAGAAGGTCAAAGGCCTCGGCATTGTGACACTGAGTGGGCGTTTAGCTGCTGCTTTACCTTCATCTACCGAATCAATTGATGGGAGCCAAGGAAACGCAAACAAGAAGCAAAAAATTGAATCGGATAAGGATTCGGAAGAAGTACCAGACAACGAATCCAAGGCGCTCCAACCCATCCCAGAACCAGAGAAAGCTTCCATGCCGGTTTTGGATACCTTACCAACGAGCATGGCATCAGCGACCCGATCAGTCGCTCAGCCGCTACATGTTGGAGATCTCCGACTTGCTGATTTGAGGAAAATAATGCTCTCCGCCGGATACACGGCCGAGTTCAGAGGGGAAGGAACCCTCCTGATAGATGGCTACGTTGCTATCCGCAAACTAGGAACGGGGGCGATCGAAGTCGAGAGTGCCGGGATAGGACAGACTGGTATACTCCAACAGCGAAATACCTTTTACGCTGTTAAAATGAAGATTTACGAAGGCCTTGCGGTTGTGGCCGGCGGCTAGGAGAGCCAAGGGAGTCTTTATGACAGCTGGAGCGGATGTCAACCTTCGGGCGGCTTGTATCATCACTAATTATTGCCGCTCAGCGAGCATTGTTTAAAATACGCTGTACAGCTTCAAAACCCACTGGTCTGGCTTCGCCATTTCCTCGAGTGAACACTGCAACATTCCACAAGCCATCACGTGAATAATCATCCCATCATTGTTTGTCTCCAGAACTGATTCGGAGCTTCGAGTATGAATGTCCAGTCTGTCATTCACCATTTGCTAGTACGATGGCCACGTATGCATGTCACATTGAATCACTGCAGCCTACTATATCTTGACTACGAAAGCCAGCTGAGATCTGAGAATTTCATTCCTTCACATCGACACATTGAGAACATAGCTACCGACCCAAGAGACTAAGTTATAATACCATTTATTATCTCATACCTACCCATTCCAGAGTTCTCATATACCCTATCCCTATATTTCCTACTCAACAAATCATTTCCCCCGATATCGGCGACGAAAGAGAGCACGAGGCATGGCGGATTGGGGATACAACCCGCCTCATGGCTGGGCTCAGGGCCCATGGGATGGTTTGGATGGCTTCTTTTATCAAGATCCCAGCGGCTGGGCACCCGCAGCTCATGGTTTCTTCCCCGCGCCGCCAGGATTTGGCTGGTACGAACTCCCAGGTGATGGTGTGGGCGGCTATTTCGGCGATTTCTCGGGAGGCTTGTCACTTGGAGGATATGGCGGCATGTGTGGCACGATGCCTTGCGACGTTGGTGGCATGGGCGGTATTATGGGATACCCTGGCCTCCCGTACTTAGGCGTCAGCGGCGGCGGCGGTGGTGGCGGCGGGCAATCGTGGCAACAACTCGGACTCCCTGTGCACGACGGCGGGATCCCCGGGGTCAACATCAAGAACTCCACCGACGGCATCGGCCTCGAGCCCGGCTACAATTACATCTTTCCCAAAGAGCATTGCAAGATCCACGTCATCAAAAGCGTGACACCGCCCTGGCAAAATGAGGGGAATGAAACGTTCAACTACACAGCGCATGTGGTTCCTACTTGCGTGACGCTCAAGACGCTGCTCCAGCAGTTCGGGTGCGACAATGAGGATCCGGGGAAAAATGTTCTCCATGAAGTTGTTCCTGGGGGAGGAGGGAAATGGTATCGTGGGTTGACTATTAAAGGGAACAATGGAGATCTAATGAAGAAGAAGGTCAGTGAGATGGGGTGGGATGAGAAGAGAGATGGGAAGAAGGGAGAAGTGGTGTGGGTCTATTTCACGAAGGATTAAAATGCTGTTACGGAGGAGGTGTCTTCTTGGCGCATTGGGGCAGTTTGGATGCATGTTGGACAATGATGGACGCCGCTCTTGAAGTGCTCTGCGAGATTAATTTACAGAATGATTGTCGAATCCAGATATCCTAACACATCCATCAACAATAACTAAGTGATGAATTTGCTGCTAATCCGAACCTTTGCATCTTCAAATGAGCCTCCAACCTAACACCGCAGGCCATGCCACCCTGTGCTAACTTAAAGGTATACCACAAATCCATTTTCCCGTCCACAACGCCATTTAATATCCACAATCTGACTTGAAACAATGCAAATATCATATACAATAGTGTACAATATGCACGACACTCAGTAATACTGTCCCAGGCCTCCTCCACCTCCTCTCCCCTGTCCTTGTGGACCAGATGGCACCCGACCATATTCGCCTTGCTTCATCCTTTGACCCTCGGTCTGCTGCCTTTGATATGCCGTTGGTACTGATGGGAAGTCTTCGTATGTAATACCTGCAGCATGGCCCTGTTGCACTTGACTTCCAACGTCATCTAGGCTCCGATAGTCGTGACCACCTCGTCCTCTCCCTCGTCCAGGAGCAGGTGCTGCACCTCTTCCACCTCTTCCTCCTCCACGCCCTTGCTGGTGCCGCGGTTGATTAAAACCTCCCCTCCCACCTCTACCCCCTCCATCTCGGTGATCATTTCTGTGTCCACCACGCCCGCTGGGGCCCCGTGGCACCCCATCGTCATTAATATGCTTTCGCTTATGCGACTTATTGGGGAACAGGCTTTCGTACTCGCCTTCCTGCTTATCCTCTTCTTCAACGCGTAACAGCACCTTCTCTCCAACTGTCGTCTCAAAAATAAACTGCTTCTCAGGTGGCACTGGTTGCCAGTTTTGTATCTTCGCAGCATCAATTGGACGCGCGCCCTTGCGCAATACCAACACAACAATGGGTACCGGGTTCTCAGTGTAGAACTTTGAGGACTGCGGCACGGGACGCACAGAACAGGCCCAGACTTTCGATTCGAAACTAGCTGTACCAGTCACTTCCCAGAGAAGCTTGTTACCGATGCCACCCACTTTGTCCAGAATCGAATTTGGCGCCGGACGCGGCGTGATGAGTATGTTATTTGCCAGGTACTTGAGCTCGCTCTCGGGCATGTTTTGCGGAGGGTGAACTAGACTCAGTAGTTTCTGCGTGTCGGGCTGCGTAATTAGGTAGCCCGTGTAGAAAACCGTTTCCTTGATGCACAACCGTTTTGACCGCACTGCAGCCGTGCCTTTGGTCACGGCGGCGTTGTGATCGTTAATTATCCGCTGGATCTCACTGGCCTCTATAACTGGATCGAGAAGCGTCGCACTGTCTGCGACTTGAATAACCTCTGCTGTTATGGGACCGCGCGTTGGGTATCCGCCAATGCCGTTTTGACGTTTATTGTAGTCCATGAAGAAATCCCTGAAGCCTTTAACATGCTTGACTCGGTCCTCGTAGATGCGTATCTCGTCGGCCACTTTATATGTCTCCATCAGTGTCTCAAGGAAGGCTTGCTTGAACAGCATCGTGCTGCCAAATCGCTGGTTGTTCGGCCCTGCTTTGGGCTTCAGTACGACCATGTCGAATGCCAACTCTCTGCTCGCCACCATCCGGTTTATCAACTCCGCAAAACCGTGCTCAGAGCGCCCGGTAAGAAGAACGGTGAGCGCATCCTCTTGTTGCATGCTCAATTGTATCAGCTGCACGATCTGTTCGTTCCACCAGCCCGCCCACCCACGTTTCTGTTCGAGCTCGGCTCCTTCGCCTGTCGCTGCGAGGATGCGGACATCGTGCCACCAGCCTCCAGTTGCAAAGACATCCTGGGTCTGAAAGAGGCCAATCGTCGGTCCATTCCATATCTTCGGGTTCGGTAGAGGGGAGTTGAAGACTGGGAGCTGTCAGTATTCGTCAATGGGCTGGGCGCAAGTCGAGGTTCTTACGGGTATTGTCAAAGTCGTAGACGTGAATCGTTTTGATTTTATCCACCGCTACAACAGTTAGTTTGTATAGTCAAAGACGGGATAGCAAGACCTACAAGGTAGCTGTTTGTCCGCCACAGACCAGCGGTTGAGGGCGGTAGTGGTATGGACTGTTTGCGAAGGGGCCTGGTTCTTGCTGCCCCAAGAATGATGCATGTTTCCCGTGGCCATTGTGGCGCTTCGTCTATGCGTCAAACAATTGGGTCTGGTGCTTGAGGCAGATGAACTCGAGGACCGAAGCTGCAACCTTGTTTGATTGTCGTTGGTGGTGAGGCGTGGGGTGGAAGGCGCGAGGCTGACAATTCTCGACGCAAGGTTCGCTTGGGACCCGCTAATAACCATGCCGACGCTGAGGGGACCAAGTTTGGACTTGCATTGAAATAATTGTAATATCAGAATCTTTATAGTCTGTGAATTTCTATGAATTCGCGAGGTTTAATTGGGAAAAGAATGTCGACCGGGTTACCAAGACAAGCTATTCGTCTTCTACGGAACGTGACGTATCCAGAGACCTCATCGATACTCCTCCAAGTTCACGTGAAGACGGGGGTTAAGCCACCAAAAGAAGATTCTATACTATCTGTTGAAGACGACCAGATTAAGCTTCAAGTCCAATCTCCAGGAGTCAATGATCGAGCCAACACGGCTGTCAAATTGCTCCTGAGCAAGGTAAATTTCCAAAAGGATAGTACACAATACAATTCTCATTTGATCTAACATGTCGGCCCAGGTTCTGAATGTCCCAAAGACAAATATTAATATCGTGTCCGAGGCGATAAGGCTCACTACAAGAGCCTTTCAGTCACCGATTACACCACCAGATGTGCGGACGACACGGAAGAACTCTCGCTCATCAAAGCGCTGCTTCTTAAAAACGCAGATGTATCCAATTCCATACCAACGCCCCACCCCCTGCCCATGCCCCAAGGCAGAACATCAAAGCGTTAAAACTCCATAGCCTCCGCGGCAGCAACGCCCTCTTCTCTCTCACGCTTAACCTTGACCTTCTTCTCACTCTCCTTTTCATCCCTGATGATCCCAGCCACGAACGTCCGGAAATAGTCAATATACGGCTTGAGACAAGTCTTCTCCCAGTCCTGGACATTCCTCCCCTTGACCTCCTCCGGGCCTGTCCATTTATCGATTTCGCCCAGCAGCTCTGTCACAGTAGGCACAGCTAGCGGATCAAACGCCTCGAGCTTTCTCGTATCTATAGGCACGCAAACCCGGCCGGTGCCCGGGTGAACGACGAATGGACTCTTCAGCAAATGGTTTAGCTTCTTACTGACCTCGATATCGAGACGTGGGTACGTATACTCGAGCACAATATCCTGTTTGGCCTCTAGAAGCGCTTTCGGATCCAGGGATTTACTGGCTCCAGTCTTGGCCAGGGCATCGATATCGGCCCATTTGGAAGCCGAGGAGCGGCCAGGCGCAGAATCCCACTTCTTGCGTAGGGATTCGTTGAGAGTCCTATCGGGGAGTAATTGCAGCAGGCGGTCGGCCTGCTCTTGGGTGGCCCAAGGATCCTGGTCTTCCAGGATATCAGCCTGGAAGTGCGATTTAAGCGTTTCTAAACTCCGGCTGCGGGTATATTAGATTTGTATATAATGATAAGAGAAATCCAGAAGGGGATAAACTTACGCAAGATGCGGATGCAATGGCCTCTTGATATTAACCTTCTTCCCGCTCTGTGCACCTCCCTTAATAACCTCGAGGTACCCCGCGATCGCCCTCCTCCTGCTGTCATCCATCGTCCTAGCCTTCTTATCACAAACCCATGCGTGAGCTCCACGACGCCCAGAATACACCCACATAATATGCTTGAACCCAAAGTCGTCCCTGAGCGCCACATCCACGACCTTAATTGCCATTGTGATGAACTGCCAGCACCGATTACAGATATTCGCCTTGTCGCAGCAGGTTCTAACATCATCGTAATCCGTCAAATCGATATCGAAACACAGCTCCTTCGCAATCGGCTTAAACGCTGTCGATCCCCGTAGTGTCTTCCTGTCTCGCGGGTTCGTCGAATATACGGGCCCAATCTCAAAACGAGACGGCATCAGGCGAAGCACGTCGCGTCGCAGCAGCTCTGAGTTCGGAAAGCTTTGATAACGCAGGTAGGCATCGTTGGACAGGGTGAATGCGAATTCACGGTGCGCAAAGTCGTTGCTGGGCATCGGGCTGTGGTTCAGCCACTGGAAGAGGGGGCGCCAGGGGAACAGGCGCTGGTAGAACGAGCGCATGACTTCTGGGTCTGATGCTCGCGCGGTGGGACCGATATTTATAGGTGACGGGGCATCCTGGGGCGAGGGGCTGACTTTGGTGTCTGGGGCGGCGGAGCTGGGGAATTCCTCGTCGGACGACATGTCGTCGAAGATGTTTTCAAGGTTGATTTCTTGTTTTACTTTCACCGGACTCGGGTCTGGCTTGATATCTTCTTGTGCTGGAGTCGGTTTGGCCATTTCATCTGAGTCGTCGGTCTTGACAAGCTTCGTTTCTTCGTCGTCGATGTCGCCCATCTCTTCGTCTTCCTTGGTCGGAACTGAGGCCTCGATATTTTGGACGTCCACCGCTTCTTCCATTGTTTCGTCCCCCGCGGTTCCAGTAGGTTGCAAGTCGGGAGTGACGGAATGGGGCATACTGGTGTGATATAGGAATTTCACTCTTGGGAGTTGTTTGTGTTTACTGCGGGGTTGGTATATAAATTTATGGAAGTCCGTCAAGTGGAGACGCGTGTGGATGAAGCGTGGGGTAGGCGACGCGTAAATTGAAATCGCAGCCTCGTCAGCCTTGTGCCGTCTTGGAAATCTATGCGAGAATGTTGGAAGATTCCCCAACAATTAACGTACATGCATAGCGAGTGGGCCAGCATAGCGAACGGACCACTCTATTTTACACTATAAATCACGAATTTCATAACATAATATCTCAACAGCCCTTTAATAATAAGTTATAAAATTTTAATATTAGCCTTTTACAAGCATTTAAAGTAGTCTATTTGATTTTTAAAGCAATTGGTCTTGTAGTTATTGAGATGCTAAGATTTAGGTTAAAAGTAGGGGCTAAAACTTAATATCTCAATAACCACATAACTAATTGCTTTAAAACTGAAACAGAGCTCTTTAGACGCCTATAAGAGGCTAATCACATAGTTTTATAATTTATTATTGAAGGGTTGTTGAGATATTAAGTTATGAAATTCGTGATTTATAGTGTAAAATAGAGTGGTCCGTTCGCTATGCTGGCCCACTCGCTATGCATGTACGTTACAGCACTTCACAAACACGAATATGCAGAATATTAAATGCACAGATTATAATAGATAAAGTCGCTCATTTATTGCTCCCTCTCTAAAAATAGCCACTATCCTAAACGTCATCAGAAGAGGCCGCTCATTTCGTCTCAACCTCAGCCAGTGTGTTAAATAGTATGAACTCGTATACTGCCAAGCACTTTTCCTGACATCATAGAGTCTGAGCGGGTCCCAAATAGGAAAATTTGGGATAAATAAACATTGTGTTACTGACCTCAGCCTTCGTAGCTAGATAAATGGAAAATAGTCTATCACTGCTGTCATTTGCTGGCCTAGCAGTGGCATCACCGGTCAGCACCTTCATCGGGAAGGCTCGTATCATAGTCTTCAGGAGCTAATCCAAAGAGAGTTTTGGGTTTTGGTGGCGGGGTTGGGGTGGCAGAGTTCGATGGCAACACATTGGACTCGTTCCTTAATCCAAATGGATTAGTTGGTGAAGGTCCAAAAATAGTTTCGGCATTTGATGGTGTGGCAGTGGTGGCAGCATTAGATGGTGAAACATTGGACTCGTTCCTAAATCGAAAAGGATTAAACGATGAGGATTGTGCCGGCACGCCCGCAGCAGAGGCTCTGGAAGTAGACCCAAAGAGAGAATACGAGCTATGAGCCGGAATCGAGCTAGCTCCAAGCAAACCAAATGGTGATGTCGATGCCGTGCTTGTGCTTGGGGGTATAGCTCTACTAGCATCAAAGCCAGAAGTGGAGGAAGACGGATGTGGTGCAAACATCGCAGATCCGCTGCTAGTAGGTATATTCGTGCGAGCTGCTGGTTCAGCAGTTGGAATAAATGAGCTCAATGACAACCTTTGGCCAAAGATACCACCAGCACTGGTGGATCTTACCGTTAGAGATGGAAGTGAAGAGGCGAGCGGGGAGACCCTGCCAAATATTGGGTTTGACACCTGGCTTGTAGATCTGGTAACGTCGCTGGTATCATTTTGGGGTCCAGCGTTCGATGCCCCAGCTTCAGACGAGCTACCCGCACTTCGTTATAGCGGGGGAGGCAGTTGAGGCGGGTGTATTAGGTGCAGCCGCCAAATTATGGCTGACGGTAGGCTCAGTCTGGTTTATATTAGCTAAAGATATTAGGCTATTCTCTCCATGATACTTACAGAAACTGGAGCCTGTGGGAGGCTTGAGCTCGCTGAGAGGGGTGCAGTAGCCGATGCTTGCGGAGATAAAATATTAGTACCATTGGAACCAAGTCCACCGCCTTGGGCAGATGAGGAAGAGGCTTCTGTTGTGGTTGGGTTTGTCGAAGCTGAAGCAGAAACGCCCACAAAGTGACTAAACGGACCGCCAGTGCCAAACGCTGGTCTCTGTGTACCAAACGGACCGCTAGTGATGCCAAAGCCACAAATGATACTAACGCTCGCCGTGCCAAAAGCTTGTGATGGCGATTGGCCGAAGCCACCTCCCTTTAGCCACGGTCTCCCCTTATCCATGGTATCACCCGGGCGGCCGAAGGTGTCGTATGGGTGGGCACCGGGAGTATCATCGTATCCTAACGTTCTCGTGGTGTACCCAGTGTTTGGAAGATACGTTGTATATCTTATTTCACCAGATGACCCAGCAGTTGTGTCACCATCTCCCGATCCAATGTTCTCAGAACCACCACCACTAGAACATCCCGAATTTTGGAGTATCGCAACAAATTTCTGCTTCGTCGGAGCACTGGCGTCCAGTATAAACTTTCGAGTTTCACTCGCTGCCGAACAGTCCTCTGGCTGATGTTTGGTATCATGGACATGGTACTCACAGGCTCCCTTAGGCTTTGGCCTGTGGGCAAGAGACAGGTCCAGACCAAGGCGGAGTCCCTTGAAGATGTCTTCAAGGAAGGACGGCCATTGTTCTACCAAGTCCATATTCCTATCAATCTGACCAGCAGCATTAATTTGCGATATAGTTGCATCGGCGGCGAGCTTGCGACAAGGGGACTCTGGATGCGCCCGCTCGTAGATGAGTTCTATATGCTCCGTAGGCATTGGGCGGGGCGCCAGAAAACTCTCGCCTTGTATGTAGGTACTCATAGCGATGTTGAAAAGGTTCGTCCAGCATATTGTTTCTGCGAACAAGCAAAGGCGGATAAGCGCCAGTTGGTGGGCTTCCTCGGACTCCTTAATCGGCTCGATTGGTGAACAGTAAGGGATGCCATCGATACGACCAATCGAAACTGGAAAGGGGCCAGGTATGACAACATTTTCTGGCGACGGTCGTGAAAAATCCGAGAAGCGATGGTTGAGAGCGAAGTCTTCTAATCGAAGCTCCTCTGGGCAATATTGGTTATAGTCTGTCTGAGTGAAATATGGTCGAATCGATCTCGCATATTATTATTTCCCTGTGGCTGCACGAATATTGTAGCTGATATCTCCTCATGCGCCCGATATGCAACGCTGCCTGTCCCACGATTTGGTGGGAGGGCAGCATTTCCTACTCGTAGCTTGGTTGCTCCCACAACTATACCCCTGCGAAACTCGTCGAAAGGTCCCGGGCCATATCCTAGAACAGGGATCTGATTTTGATACAGCCAGCCAATTAAAAGGTCAAAGGCATCTGGACTATCCTCCGGTAAGCGGATAGTCTGCTCATCGGCCTCCTTGAATTTGCCATTTAAGGCCCTTTCAAAATACTCCGACTGCGATGTAAGGAGTGCCTTGTGAACAGAGTAACGCTTCTCTCTAGGTCCGACGTATACTGTCACAATGTCACCGCCCATGAGCCTAGAAGACGTTAGTATAATATGATGAAATTTTGGGGCCACGTCCTGTACAAGATTCGGGAAGCCTGCCATGACCAGGGTTTCCGGGGCCAGAGACCGATCTCGCTAGGATAATATGATATGATCTGATGGTTTTGCGTGGAAATGTCCAGACTGATAACCAAAACGACAGATCAAATTGATGTTGTTTGCCTCAGGTGAAGGTTTAGGTCACAGCAGGCAGCAGAAAGTTTGTCACAACAAACGCTGCCAACATGTAAGCGATTGGTCGCAACACCAGCACAAACTGTCTCGTCGCTTCAAAAAGGTGCAAATTAAAGCACAATTGTTCCTGATGCCAACCCAACTGCAATCAACTGCAATGGGTGTTAAATAGTATGGATCATCGAAATGTTACGATTCGAAACTGAGCTAGAAGTTTCTTAAGATTGATAGTGGTGGCAGTGCAGGCAGCAACAAGGTTAAGGACAGGGATCCTCTTTCAACTACTCACATCACAATCCCCTTCCCCCATCCTCTTTCAACTACTCACAACACAATCCATACCTTTCCACAGTGATTTAGTCACTGTAGATTGTTGACCTCCCTGGTCTCATTCACTCACACATCGAAGCTGAACAGCAAACACCAGAAGACGTCAAACTTGTCACTGAATTGGTATCGGACTATTTGAAGAGTCCTCGAAGATTCTCGCTATCGTATCTGCCAAGTATGACATCAATGTCCAGGTCATTCTCAATCGAGCTTGAGAGGTCGATCCCCAAGGAATTCGAACCATGGGGATCATCACCAAGCCCGATACGCTCGTGAAAGGATCATCAATCTAGCTCGAAAGGTCGATCCCCAAGGAATTCGAACTACGGGCATCATCACCAAGCCCGATACGCTCGTGAAAGGATCAGAATCCAAAGATTCATTTGTTAAATTGGCCAGGAACGAACGAGTCAAGTTTCGCCTGGGCTGGCATGTTGTTAAAAATCTTGACTCTGCACACAAGGAATCCCTGAAATCGACACTCGAGACCCGAAATGCTGAAGAGAAAGCATACTTCAAGGACAGTAACTTCAAGAGTTTACCTTCTCACAACGTCGACATCGAATCACTGCGTGCTCAATTGAGCAAGGTCATCTTCAACCAGATTCGACTTGAGTTGCCTCGGCTCGTGGATGATATCGAGCAGCGGATTCTTACTGCTAGACCTGGGCCTAACCGCACCGGAATTAATGACCAGCGAGCGTTCTTGATTCAATTGAGTCAAACATTTCAGACAATTTGCCAAGCGGCGGCTATTCGTAGCGATTATGACAATGATTTTTTCCAGAGTGATGAATCGTCTGAGAAACGTCTCTGCGCGAATTTGATGAACAAGCACTTCGAGTTTGCTGAGAATCTGCGGAAATGGGGGTCTCAATGGATCATCGTGGAGAAAAAGTCTCCCTTCGATATTCGGAGCCGGACACACGAGAAGGCCATCACAGACGCCTGCAGACTTTTGAAGCGAGGCCGTGGCCGAGAGGTGAAACCCCCCATCCTATGCCTGGGGCATGTAAGGCGGCCCATCATGTGAGGCCGCCCTGAACTCAGGGGCTGCCTGGCAGTGGAGCCACTAGGGATCGGTAAACTAGGGCATGTAGGAACATAGGATATAAGGAGCTGGAAGCCTCAGAAGGAGGCCTCCAGCCGATAGTCGCTGTACATACGTAGACCTACTGTCTTGCAATACGATCTCACTTCCTGCCTTCTGACCTGGTTCCCTGGACTCCCGTGAGACCCTAGGGACTGCGCTTTACAGGGCAGTTCTCAATTCTATGTCGATTATAATGCTAACAAACCTACTATTTAGCTTCTCTGGCCTTTCGAACCTGAACACCTCCTCATGAAACTACAGCCAGATGTGAGCGCGAAGGTCCTTATGTACCCTGAGATTCCACCTACCTAGGTCGTGCTCATCGCGCTTACAGCGCAGTTTGAGCAGGCCGACACATCCTAGGTCTAGGAGGGTAGTAGAGGCAGGGAAGACCAACAGCAGAGCCGGCCTAATAGGCCTCGAAAGAGGCCCTCTAGCAGCTTAAATGAGAACTAGGGTGCCAGGTCCTTTCATAAGCGCCCCCACCTACCTGACGCTAAGGAACAGCAGTGGAAGGAAAACAATCTTTGCTTTGCCTATAGAAAGGAAGGCCACTAGGCAGCGTAGTGCTTTGCCCCACAGACTGAGAATAGCTCGCATGTGCGAGCAGTAGGGCTACGGGCACCCTACTAGTAAAAATACCAGACCCCTCTACCAAAGCCCTAATGGCTAGAGTAGGTGCATAACGGGGAGCTTTAAGTCTGTCAACCTACATCGACGTAAAGGGAGCGGAGGCATGGCGGACCATCTGCGCCCTTATAGACAGTAGAGCGACGGAAAATCTCATGTCCCACCTTATCGCAAAAGGGATAGGGGGAAACTAGGAACCAAACTTTACTATAGCAAGGGAGGTTGGAGAGCAAAGATTCCCTTGTTTAGGAAGGCTTAGCTTACCCTCTACGTCAAGGACAATAGGGGGGTAACAAGGGAGGGCTAACACCCCTTCGTTACTACTGTCCTAGAAGAATATGATCTAATGCTTAGGTATCTGTGGCTATCCTATGAGAATCTAGTGATAGATTATAAGCAGGCAACTTGTCATACTGACATTCGTTGCACTCAGTTTGCTATCAAACTCAAGAGCAAACTTGGAAATCTCCTCCTCAAACCTACAAGTCACTATACATATTTTGGCTTATCACACCAACAACAAGAGCAATACTACTCAATCATTGCTACAACCATCTATGATTCATTACACGTCATCGCTCCTTAGTTACTGGGCTGATATTACCACATAGCATATCTCTACAACCCTCTATGATTCATTACATGACATCACTCATACTACCACATGACATATCTCTACCAACTAGAGGCCTAGGAGCATGAACGATAGCTCTAAAAGCTCCTACGAACCTCTATGATTCATTACATGTCATCGCTCTTTAGTTACCCACAAGATTGGTTAAGTTATGACATAATTTGTCTATGACATAATTTGTCTATGACATAATTTGTCTATGACATAATTTGTCTATAGGGGTACTCTGACCTTGGACCTCCTTTTACTTCCTATAGGCTACGAACCTAAGAGATGGTTCTATGGGATTCTCTTACGTCGACTACAGTTACCAAGCCTGGTAACTCATGGAAAGTCGTGGAAAATGAGAGAACTACATTCCTTTAGCATAAATAGGATTGCCCTTTCCTTAAGAAAGGGCAAGCAGACAATACAGTAAATTGACTATCACATACTTCGACGTCTTTTGCTTGCGCCACGCCTGTTCCTTCTGGTGTCGCCTCCCCCACATCACGTTCTCGCACTGTCCGTCCGTATCGCTCGCCTGAAGTCGAGGATGAAGCTGAGGAGCCCGAGGCTCCAAAGGGTGAGCGCACCATGCTTGGGTGGAAGGTTGCTGCCCGCTGTGAGGTTCCCGATTCTGCGGGACGCCTTCACGCTGGCTCCCGCCCGTGCTGCGTAAAGTGTGCACACACGTATTACAACTTCCTGGGCCAGATGTGCTGGGTTCCTTCTGGCATGGCCAAATGCGCGGACTGCCTTCGGGGCAACCACGCGTGCGTTCCGGTAAGGGACTCCCTCCTCGTTGCTTGTTTTGGCCGAGGGTGCGAGTCCTACTTCTTCGTCGTTTTACTCTGAGTCTGGGTCCCCGTCGTCATCCTCGTCTGAGGGCCAGGGTTCTGATTGATCATTCCCATAGTTTATAGGGCCAATACTATTACGTTGTCCCATCCTTGCTTCCTTATGCATGCTTTCTGTGATATGCCTCAATTAAGGGTAGCCCTACATCATGTTTTGGCACCCATTGATCGTCTGCGGCTGTATAACCAGCCCATCTAATAAGGTATTCCTCTCTGTTTCCTTGTCCTTTCCTGATTGTCCTATGATCTAGGACCGCTTCTACCTGGTATTCTTCCTCACCGTCCACAATCTCTGGGCTAGGTGGAGGATTGGGTTCCTCTGTGTTTTTCCAATACCTTTCCAGTAAGGACACGTGGAACACATCGTGGGTTGCCTTGTACCTTGGTGGTAGCTTCAACTGGTAAGCCTGCTTACCAATACGCTGGGTGATCTCGTACGGGCCAAGCCAGCGGTGCCCAAGCTTCCTACTTGGCTGGATAGTTCTGATATTCTTGGCCGAAAGCCATACTTTCTCCCCTACAGTGTATTGCATTGGCTTGTGCAGCTTGTTGTAGCCTCTTATTTGGGCTTCCTTCGTTCTTTTGCAAGCTTCCTCCAGCTCCCGCCGTAGTTTAAGGATCATGTTTACTCGGTCTTTCGCGACTGGCACCTCCCTTCGCGTGGGGTCGTCCTCGACCCCTTGCCTCAGGTCAATATTAATGCTGTACTGGGCCTGGTTGGGTGACATTTGGATGGAGTCGTGGAACACGTTGTTGTAGGTAAGTTCCGCAAAGTGGAGGAGCTCCACCCAATTGTCCTGGTGCTGATTACAGTGCAACCGCAGGTAGGCCTCAATATTCTGATTTTGCCTCTCGGTTTGGCTATCCGATTGAGGGTGGAAGGCAGTCGATAGGTTACGCCTTACTTTGAGGTGAAAACAGAACGCTGACCAGAAGTGACAGGTGAACACACTCCCTCAATCCGTGATTATTTCGGCTGGGATTCCAAAGTCCTTTACCCAGAACGCAAGGAAGAGGCGCGACAGCTCTGGGGCTGTGATGGTTTTCCTACATGGTATATATTTAGACACCTTAGTATAACGATCTACTATTACGAGGATAGAATCTGAAGCCTTGCCTTGATCTGCCCTACGCTTGGAGGCAGATCTGTAATAAAGTCCATACTTATGGATTCAAATGGTTTTGAGGGCATCTTTAATGCCTGCATTTCGCCATATGGCCTGTGTCGTACGGGCTTGATGCGTTGGCATCTATCGCAGCCCCGTACATACTCCCTGGTTTCCTCGCTGAGGCCAGGCCAGTAGTATTTGCGTTGGATCAACTCTTGGGTTTTCTTATATCCAAAATGCCCAGCCAGTGGGTCGTCATGGCAAATCTTGAAGATTTCCATCCGCACTGCCTGATTGGGAGGTATGTATACCGCTCCCTTGAAGCGTAGGATGCCTGCATCGTCTACTCTCCAATCTGAAGAGCCCTTTGCTCACGCCAACCCAATATCCTTGGCCCTTTTAACAGCTAACTCGCCAGTCGCCTGGAGGGTTTTGATCAAGTCTATTAGGGGTTCAGATGCAGCACTATAGGCGCTCTCTCCCTTGGCTACAGCAGCTACTGCAACCCGAGGGACAACGAGACCTGGACTCTTGGTGTCCTTACTATGGTCATTGCCCAGTCTTACGCTGCTAGCGTTTGCCTTCCTACGCTGTAGGTTAGGTTCTCCTATCTGGAAGCCTTCTTGGCTTGTTATCGTCTGACTTATCTGCAGGATACCTCCTGCCTGCATGGCTTCTCGGAGCTTGTTCTTAAGGGTCGGTAGCATCACATTCTGGCTACCCTTTTCACCCTCATAGTCTGGTCTCCTAGATGGACCGTCTGCTGGGTTTGTTTTTCCCGCTCAATAGGAGATGTGGAAATCATAGGCTGATAACGCCTGTGCCCACCGCGCTTGCCTCCTTGTGAGGGCGGTGGTTTCCATAAAATACTTCAGATTGTTGTGATCTGTTAGGACCTCAATTGGGTACTGGCTTCCTTCGAGGTAGTGTCTCCACTGCTCGAAGGACTTCACGATCGCCAGGAGTTCCTGGTCGTGGACTTCATAGTTCAGCTCTGCTGGATCTAGCTTTTTGCTGAAAAAGGCAACTGGGTGCCATTCGCCCTTCTCTTCTGGCTTAGTTCCTTCCACTAATTGGGACAGGTTCGCAGCGAGCGCAAAGCCTGACGAGTCCGTCTCGAGCCTGGTTCTACAGCATGGGTCGAAATGGACCAGTGTGAGGGCTGTAGTGAAGGCCTTCTTCAACTGGCCGAAGGCGCTTTGCTGTTCCTTCCCCCACACGAACGGGCCTGTCTGCTTGCCTGCCTTTGCCCCTTTCATAAGGCCTGTCATTGGGGCCACCACGGAGGAGTATTGCTTTACAAAGCGCCGGTAAAAGTTGGCAAAGCCGAGGAACACCTGGACCTCTCGATGGGTCCTAGGTATTGGCCAATCGGCGATTGCAGCAACCCGGTCGCTTTCCGTTGTGACAATATACCCAAGGAAGCTTACCTTCTTGGCATTGAACTCGCACTTTGAGAGCTTCACGTATAGGTTCGCCTCGCGTAGGCGTCCTAGGACCTCTCGTACGTGGTCAGCGTGTTCCTCCTCCTTCTGGGAGTAGATGAGGATATCATCAAGGTATACGACACATATGGTGTCAACCAACCCTTGTAGGGTCTCATTCATGTACGCTTGGAACGTTGCAGGTGCATTAGCCAATCCAAAAGACATCACCCTGTACTCGAAGTGTCCGTATCGAGTACAGAATGCTGTCTTCCACTCGTCGCCTGGGCGAATACGGATGCGGTGGTAGGCGTTCCTAATATCAAGCTTCGTGAAGCACCTCGACACTTGGAGCCGATCCAAGGTCTCCGTAATCAGTGGCAGCGGGTGTTGATTCTTCACGGTAATCTTATTCAAGCCTCTGTAGTCTACGAAGAGACGTAGGCTTCCGTCCTTCTTCTGAACGAATAGGATGGGCGCGCCTGCAGGGCTTACGCTCCTTCGGATCCAATCCTTCTTCTCACTCTCGTCGAGGTATTTACGGAGCGTGGCCAGCTCCGTTTCCGATAGGTTATATACTGGCCCATACGGTGGTTCCTGGGTTCCAGTATCGATGGCATGGGTTTTCCTTCCCAGCTCTGGCAGTTCTTCTGCCTTTTCCTCCGAGAAGACGTCGATATAGTCCTCGTATTCCTTCAGGCATTGGGTAGGCGCGCTATCGTCTGTGTTGAAGGCCAAGATGAAGGCAGTATCACCTTCCTCCCATTCTTCAATATCCGCCACCTCGGCTCTCGCAATATCGAAGGGCTGGCGCCAGGTCTGTTTGCGCCAGTCGATCTGGGGGTTGACCTGCGTCATCCAATCCATCCCAAGGATGACGTCTACTCCTGGGGTGTCCATGGAAAGGAGGGTCTGGGCGACCACGCATTCCCTTTGAAAGTGGTCCCTAGCTCGGACCTGGGTGGTGGCCGCTCCATATATCACAACCTCTTTTCCATCGACTGCCCTTGCCCGTGGCAGTGCCCTATCCCGGCACTCCAAACCCTTCTCTTTGGCAAACAGAGGGTGGATGGTGGACGCGTCAGATTCTGAGTTGAGGAGGGCTCTTGCCTTGTGCCATCCGGGCCCTACCTGCACCTCTACCTCGATCTCCATTCGACGCTGCGCCGTAGGCTTCTGGGGTTCTGCTGGGAGTCACTCCCTCTTGGGGGTGTAGGCGTCCAATTTCCTCACCCCTGGGCCTGTGTGTTGGCGTGGGCCTCGACATTCCTTCGTGAGGTGGCCCGCCTTGCCACAGTTATAACAATTGATTCTGCTAGGGATTGGCCTAGCGTCCCTACTGTGGGTAGGGGCCTGTCCTCTCGCCGGCCGCTGGTCTTGTGGGCAGTGTCTATTCCAGAAGGGTGTTCTTTCTCCTTGGGCCGAGGGCTGGGGAGCCCTGTGGCTGCCAGAGTTGCCCTTTCGGAATGGAAAGCTGCCCTGGGAGGTATTCCTTCCTTCCCTTGAGTTGGGCTTGTCAACGGTAGGAGTTCTCTCTGTTACCCACTGGTTTGTCATTTCTAACATCGCCAGGATATTAATGATAGCATCCCTGTGGGTAGAGGAACGCTCTGCGTACCCTCCTTCAAGGAGCCGTTGCCTCATCTCTGGGTGAATCTTCGTCAGAAGGTGGACAGTCTTCTGCAATTCAGTATACGGTTCCATCTCGCGTTCGAGGTCCTCAAGGTAGGCCACGAACTTGCGGATGCTCTGCCCTTTCCGTTGTAGGGTGACGTTATACTTCAAGGCCGCGATGCGTTGTCGGTTGGCTGGGTCGACATAGAGGTCCCGAAGAAACTCTTCGGACCCAGCGATATCCAAGGGATCTATGTATCCTTCTCCTTGGGTTGCGCACCGGTTATCCCATTCCTTCATAGGATGTCCTTCCAAGTATTGGGCAGTGAAGGCCACCTTAGATTGCTCGGTTGGAAAAACCCTTGGTTGGTATCGGAAGATAGCGCGGATCGAGGCCATGAACTCGTTGAGCTCTCGGATGGATTCGCCCTTATATACCTTAGGTTCCTTGACCCTTCCTATTGGTCTCTGGGCTGGTGTGACCTCCATTGATACGGTAGAGGCAGTCTCTGCCTCCTCCTCTTGTTGGGGTTTTTCCCACTCGTCCTCAATATCTTGGTGTCGCCTTTTTCGACGGTTCTCTTCCTGAATCCGGGCTTGCTTCTTCGCGAAGTCCCGTACTGCCTCAGGTAGGCATTGTAGTCGTCGCCGTGCGTTCTTCAGAAAAGCTCTAGGGCTTCCTCCATCGTGTTGATGTAGGCCCTCTCTTCGTCCATCCGCTTCCGAAGGTCTGCCAGCTTCGAGGCCATGCTCTCGTCCTGGCCTGCCGTCAAATGGCTGGCTTCTACGGGCGTAGTTCTTGGAGCTGGCTCAGTGGCGTCAGTTGCTGGCGTTGCTCCTCCAGAAGTCGCACGCGTAATCCTTCTTTCCATACTTGCCATCCTGACCCAGTAGGCTGGATATGGGTTCAGTCAACAGAATTGTAAGGATCGTAAGCCTAAGGGGTCTCACGGGAGTCCAGGGAACCAGGTCAGGAGGCAGGAAGGTATCGTATTCTGTAAGCACAATAGGTCTATGTAGATACATCGACTATTGACTGGAGGCCTTCTTCTGAGGCCTCCAGCCCCTTTTATCCAGGCGCCTTGCGCCCTACTTTACTGAGCCCTACGGGCCCCACCAAAGGGGCCTCACGTGGTGGCACGTGATGGCCTTCCTTACAGATACCGTATTTGTGGGCGCGGTCTTGGGAGTCGTCCACGGCTGTGCGAAGGCGTCTTTCTTTTGGCGCAGGCCGAGATTCTCGCGCGCACGAAAGTCATTAATCAAATTTGAGATTTATTACAAGGACTAGAATATTATTATTCTTTGTATGCTAGCACATTCGTCTCATAACCTTTAGCCACCTAACGTTGGTTGTTTTTGACCATTAAAGCATTCATATAGAACTAAGATTAAGAAGTTAATGCACATATATTAACGTGCGACACAAGCGAGTGACAGTGGGTACTTACTGCCTCCTAGTCCTAGATGGCCATGAAAGTCACCACTCGGCTGCCTTTGAACAATACTGTTGTACAAACAATATTCTAACACTCTGTATGCTAGCCCATTCATCTCATCTACTCAAGCCTTTAGATGTAGGGTGTTTTGGGCCTGTGAAGAAAGCATATAGTTGGCAAATTGAGAACCAACCGGCTCCCACGAACTCATTCTCTCCCTCCCCTTCGGCCCCGCCACAAACCTCGAGCGCGTCTACATCCTCGGAGAATTTCGCGTCGATCTGCGCGGCCGAAAAGCAACCACCGTTCCTCTCGCATTCGACAAACTAGCTGTGGGCGACTACACGAGGCAGGGCTCCCCTTCTACGTTGGGAACGTGCATTACGACTTTACGCTCCGCGTCGACGGGCCAGGACCCCAGCGCACCGCAATCCAAGTCCCGCGCTTCGTCGCCCCGTTCCTCGCCGTGCAACTCGACTGCCGCGACGTGGATGCCATTGCCTTCCAGCGCACAGTCTCGACCTAGGGGAGCTGTCCGGGGGTGAGTATAGGCTGCGGATTACGGCGTATGGGAATCGCGACCATGCGTTTGGCGCACTGCATCTGCCGGAGGGGTTGACGAAGTGGTACGGCCCGGATGCGTTCCGTACGGCAGGTGAGTGGTGGAGTTATGAGTTGACGCCTTTCTTCAGGCCTTTGCAGCGCTCTTGTGGTGCAGGGCTTCAATATGGTATATCATAACCCAGTCATGATGGACTCCGAAGGCTACAACTATGCACAGCACTTACGATGCTCAAGATTTGTTAGATGCTTTGCAAGGACTAGTAGCTTGGTACCAGGCATCATTAGTAGACTAGACATTGTACTCCAAAGTACTGCATAGAAACTTCACTGTAGAAATACATGACTTTTCCATCTAACGTACCCCCACCCGCCCTCCCTCTTTCTAACTGCCACTTCATTGCTGGGGATGCGGCAGCATACTTTTATTCTTTCCGTTGACCATTCCATTCAGAGCAGTTGTGTGGCACCAGGAACCCCACAGCCTTGATGGTTGTGCAACGATGCTGTGATTAAAATGGCCGCTTGTGGGAGGAAGATAGGAGGGTAGTCGGCTCCACTCACCGACTGGAGCCTAGAGTGGTTCCCCAGGGTCATGCGGGATGGCTGCGGAGTTAAGACGTACGAGGTATGGACGAATGAATGGTTCAAGGGTTCATATTAAGCATAATCTATGACAGGTCGTTGGCAAGACGTAGCAAGGATTCGTCTGCCGTGACCTCCAGCTCCTCCCACCCCAAAGCTCTATAACCGGCCATCATGCGGTCAGACGGCCTCGGGGCGACACTCATTCCGGGCTCTACCTTGGGAACATCTTCGCTGGGTCGAACACATCCCTGAAAATTTCCATGTCTTCAAGATGTGTTGATGCCGCCTTCGCTTTCGTTTTCCCCTTTGAGCTACTTCCTGATACCTTTGAGCTAGTCTTTGAGCTAGCGTCTTTCTTGGACGACTTGTCCGGACTTGGGTTTGGATTGGTGCCATCCAGCGGATCGAAGGCGAAGACAACATTGGAGAAGTGCCCGCGGAACTCCGCGTCGAAGTACAGGAGATCTCGCCACATCGTAGCTACTTCGCGCGTTGGGTTGCGAAAGACTGGTCCGCACCCGAAGGCACCAAGTGTGAGGTCGGAATAGCCCCACCATACGGCCATGCGGAGAACGGTACGCATTTTCTCACGCATGAGCTCCTTTTCTTGCTCGAAGGAGTACTTCAGCCCTGTCGGGTCGAGTTTTGGTCGACGCACTGGGGGTACAGAGATGACGGGCAGTGCTGGGAATAATTAGTCTCGTGCCTTGGATGGTCTCGCTGCTACTATCACCCACTCTTGAATTTCTGCCATAGTTGATACTGGTCAGGGCCAGACCGAAAAATTACTGATATGTTGTCAGCATCGAAAACATAAGACTTCAACAACAAGGGCACAAATTTCTTACCGACATAAGGAGAGTAGATGCCACCAGTTGTAGGGATGGGATAGTTCCCCTGACTCAAATTGTCGTTTGCTGCGGGTCTCTTCAGGGTAGCCACAAGGTTACTCCTCCTGCAGATACTCTCTTCCGGCGCCAGAACCCCTTTTCCGTGTTATTAGAAGTCTAAGGAGTGGGAATTGTTGACATACCTGCTTCCCAATCTCCTCCAGGTCTCTTGTCATTAGCCATATTCACAAGAGCTACGCCATCAGGCTTGTCAATAGTAATAGCTAGCTCGAGAGCCACATCAACCGGATCGCCCTCTATCGCCGCTGAAGCACTATAAGCCTTTGTTATAAAATAGGGATGCTACATAGCCACTTACTCATCCGACAACGTGATGGCTGGCTTGGAGGATCGCAGCGCATTCGGGTAGATTCAGGAACAAGGTATGAGTGTGCAGGCCATTGCGCCGAAAGCTTCGACTCGATATATGGAATATAAGTCTTCTTAGCCTCTGCGGCAACATCTGATGGTTTGACCCTGGCTGGAGGCATATTGGCCACACCAAAATGCCGGTAAAAGGTCAACTATGCCAGAGATGGATGTAGGGAATCTGTGAGGGTTTTCCTGGCCAGAAGACGATTAAATTGTATTAGATCCGTGAATACGGTGGTTGCCCCATAAAATGAAATATGACAGAGTTATGAAGAATATAATCTTTCTGGGGCAGAGGGCAAGGCACACGAAAAATAAAACTCTTATTATAAAGAGCGGCACAGTTAAGGAAATAATAAACATAATAACCATTTCCAGCAGAAAATCTCATCTCTACAGGTCTTCCAAAAGACGCAGGGGCAGCGGGATCACGTCCCTAAGGTCGGATGACCTCCAATGAAAAGGGGACAGATCTAGAAACTGCTTCCATGCCAGTATCCTGACTGAGGACTCTGGCGCCTTGTAGGTTACATTCTGGCCCCAACGCGCCAATGCCCGTCCAGGCTGAGACCTAACGGCCATGCAAACAACCGGTCATGCGAGATCGATCTGGTGCAACTGTATCTGGTCCTACGGGGCACAGGGGTGAGATATTTGGCACGTCCGGATCTCAATGGGCATCCTGCCTGTTTGCAATATTGGAAGGTCCTGTCGTGCACCGGAAATTGGGTGGGGGACGCAGCGGGAAAAAAGTACAGATGCGCTGTGAAACATGGAGGAAGGGGAAATAAAGACTGATACTATCGGATAGTACCCGCCTATCATTATCCTGATTTGCGATTGCCGGCGGCAAGGTCCACTTCCCGAGTGACGAAGGAAAGGTGGTCAGAAATGACAAATGAAGGGGTACTAGAGATTCTGAATTCTGACAAGGAGAGGAATATATATTCCGAGGCGGACATATACTATTATGTGTGGGACGACATGCGATAGGTCCAAATAACCCACCAGTGCGTTCCAGATCTGTCACATCCCAAATCTGATTCTGATTCAGATCTCGATCTACCCAAATTAAACATGACTCGGTTGCTGCTTGAGCCTTGCATGATGCAGCGGAACCGCCCGCCGCCGGCTCGATACGCGGAAGGTCTGTTTCGAGTATCCCAGACAGAACCAGCCAGTAGAGTCGAGATCGGTAGCAAGGGAGATGATATACCGGAGGGATAATATGGAATCAGCAATGCGTAAATATGCACATTTTTTCGGGTGGGTAGGACAGCATATCACGATCACGGGAATCGAGGGTGACATGGCGGCATTTGATATGAGATTGTTATGGGCAAAAACTTGACCTGTCGCTTAGCGCGAGGCTGCGATCGCTCTCTTGCTGGACCCTCAACCGCGATCCGCGTAACGCATATCCCAAAAGAAAAATTATTGTCGCAAAAAGGGGTCGGAGCAGTGACTCCCAATCTGACCTTTATCCACCGCTTTTTTTCTGCTTGCTGTCGCGTACAGGTAACAGGAGCACAGCGCATCTGCCCTGTGACGTACCAACTCGAACCCTCTGCAAGTCGTTCACCATCATGCCCGTGGCCCAAAGGGGGCTCCAACGGTGCCTCCGACTCGGCGCCCACGGTAGGGCACAGCATCGATTCCACTCCTCAGCCCCCTCGCCCACCGCGTCTCCGCTCTCAGTAGCCAAACTCCTCGCCACGCCGGCCGATGACGGCGAGAGGCAGGTTTATGGCTTCGTCCGCTCGATACGGAAGCATAAAACACGTGCCTTTGCCGCCATTGGGGATGGCTCCAGCCTCGAATCCCTCCAGGCGCTCTTGACGCCTGCACAAGCTGAGAGGTCCGCATTCGCAATCTCTAATTACCCATTATGAAACTGAATTCTTTATGCAGCCTCACTACTGGCGCCGCCGTCCACCTCACTGGCCAGTGGACCGCCTCTCCCGCCAAAGCCACCCAAGCCAGCGAGCTGCACGTGAACGCCATCGACCTCCTCGGCGCGTCAAACGCCACCGTACGCCCCCTTTGTTCACTACCCCTCAAGCAAACATGCTAACTCCTAATAGACCTACCCTCTGCAAAAGAAGTTTCAAACCGTAGAGTACCTACGCACCCTCCCGCATCTACGCGCCCGCCTACCCTCCAACGCCCTCCTTCTCCGTCTCCGCTCCCGCGCCATCGCGCACCTCACCACCTTCTTCGCCTCGCGTGAGTTCACGCAGACGCACCCTCCCATCCTGACGTCGTCGGATTGCGAGGGCGCGGGTGAAGTATTCGGCATCAGCACCGCAGCGGAATCTCCCAGCGATTCTTCCGCCTCGGCAGCGAGCGGGGAGCCAGCCGCCGCTCCTGGCAGTGCAGCGGTGCCGTTTTTCCGCACGCCGAAATACCTGACCGTCTCATCGCAACTTCACCTTGAGGCACTCGCGCAGGCCGTCGGCGGGGTATGGACGCTCTCGCCTACATTTCGCGCCGAGCGCAGCGACACTGCGCGTCATTTGAGCGAGTTTTACATGCTCGAGGCGGAGGCGACGTTCGTGTCCTCGCTTGATGAGGTTATGGATCTCGCGGAGGACATGATACGCAGCGTCACGCGGGGCCTGAACGATAGCACTATCGGGGAGGAAGTGCTGCGCGGGCATCGGCGCGAGGGCGAGGAAGGGATAGACTTAGAGCGGCGGTGGAAGGGGATTCTAGAGGGTCCGTGGCCGCGGATCACGTATACGGAGGCCATTGATGCGCTCGTCGCGAGCGGCGAGGCATTCGAACACTTTCCCGTCTGGGGTGCGGGTCTACAGGCCGAACATGAGCGCTTTCTGGCGCGGGAAGTAGGAAAACGGGGCCCCGTGTTCGTCACCAAGTACCCGGCTGATATAAAGCCATTCTACATGCTTCCCTCCTCGACCTCCAGAGCTGGAGAGGACAGGCAAACCGTCGACTGCTTCGACCTCCTCCTCCCCGACGTCTGCGAAGTCGCCGGCGGCTCTCTACGTGAACACAGCCTCGAGCCTCTCCAGGCCGCGATGCGCACGCACGGCGTGGCGGAGGAGGGGATGGAGTGGTACACTGACCTGCGGCGGTGGGGGAGCGTGCCGCACGGCGGGTTTGGGGTCGGTTTCGACCGCCTGCTCGCGTATCTAGGCGGTGTGGGAAATATTCGCGAGGTGGTTGCTTTTCCGAGGTGGGTGGGACGGTGTGAGTGTTAGACGATTAATAAGTTAAGGGGAGGAGAGAAAGGGGGGGGGTGAGGGGTGATGCTATACGAGCGGTGGAAGGTGGGTTTTCGATCCCTCGTCCGCGCCAATCATCCCCACTTCGCTCAGCGGCGAAGGATTTGAGCTTGCAACCGTACCAGACCGCTCATCTATCTTCCTTCCTTGGTCGCTTTCTTTTCATTCCTTGCGGAATCACGACAACGCACCGGCCTTACTGTATAAATACACTCGACGCATTTTCGAGCCTGTTGCGGCTGCCTTGTCGGAAGGAGCGCGGTGACCTCATCTCATTCACCCGCCGGCGTCTGCTCAATCTCCTTTTTGATAGTGTGTGAGAGGGAGATTAGAGTAGGATGCGTGGGTGTTGGTGTTTGTATTTTTTTTGGGATGGGTTGGTTGGTTGGTTGTTGGTGGATTATTTTACATTGGCTATTTTACAGTTCGTGGTTCTATTGAATATGGAAGCTTACATTTTTTGTTACGTTGTATTGTAGAGTACTTCCAAGGGAAGTACAGTTGGGTCAAATAAGTGTTCGTCGCTCCGAAGAACCACAACCATAAAATCAATCGTAAATAACTCAACCACAACGCTTTGGAATTGAATAAAAATTGAAATGTACTATAGCTAGAGTAATATAGATTAATATTTAATACTACCACCCTTTGCCTTAATGCATAATGCAATCCTTTTTGGCATTGAGTCAGCTAAGGTTTTGAGAAAACTAGCCTGTATACGTGACCACTCGTAGAGTACCGCCACCTCCATTTCTGCAATGTTCTTGATCCTATGCCGTCGAGTAGACACTTGTAGCTTTGCTTGCTGCCACACGTTTTCAATAGGGGCAAGGTCAGGGCTCTGTGGCGGCCATGGTAAACTCTGTACCATACAGAGCCTCTTGTAGTTTGCAGCAATAGGAGCAAAGTGGAATTTTGCTCCATCTTCTTGTATACGTACTTGTGGGCCGTACTTTGCAACCATCTTCTCGTAGAATGGGATAAAGTAGGGTTTGAGAACTAGTTCTGTGTATAGTTGCTGGTTCATCCGCTGCCCTTTAGGAAGCACAACCAACGGTCCAATCTCTGCTCCCATAAAGCAACCCCACACAGAAATTGAAGTACGGCCTGATTTGAAAGTAGGCTTTAGGTGTTTCTCCCAAAATTCTTCTCCTGGGCCTCGGGTAACCCAAAAGTTGCGACTATCATAGCCAACTTCAAATGTAGACTCATCAGACCATATAATAAGTCCAAAATCCACGTTTCTGTTTGCTTTACACCACTGTAGCCGGCCTTTCTTGTGAGCAGGCTTAAGGAACGGCTTCTTGCGTGGTTTTCTCCGTCCTTTGTTGTACTTTTTTAGAGCATTGCGTACTGTTGGTTTTGTGATCTGAGAGCCGCTCTTGCTCGGTGTGCAGAGCGCAATTAGTGGAGCTCTGCAATCTGTAACAGCAGCACGCACTAAGGCCCTCTCTGCTCGGATAGTAAGCTTCCTAGGGGCCCCCGAGCGTGCCTTGCTCTCAAACTTGACTTGCTGAGCTTGTAGGTCGGAAGCCTTTGCTCTGTGGATAATTGTAGTTACAGTAGTGCGGGGTAGGCGTTCTAGGCGGGAAATCTCAGTCACTGTCTTGCCAGCCTTGTACCAAGTCCAGCATGTTGCTCGCTTTGCAACAGAGGTCTCTCTACGAGTACTCTTCGGTAGGAGAGCCATAATAATTGATGACAGTATCTACAACTCACTATTTCTATCTATATTATCCTTTTGAAGAGGGAGTACCCCGCACTCGTTGCTTTTTTTCATGGCGTTTTGGTGGCTGAAAACGACGAACACTTATTTGACCCAACTGTACATCCCGTACATCCCCCCTAAAGCCCCGAAGCACGACAGGGCGTAACTCGGAGCCTGATCCAGAAATACACCCCGCTCTCGCCAGGGTTAGAAACTTGAGTATACTCATGAGTATTAGCACGTACTCATACTCATGAGTATAGTAAATCCTCATACTCATACTCATACTCATACTCAAATACTCAGAGTTACTCGAGTAACGTAAGTGACGGTGTAATGCGGGGGACTGGGTAACGCGGTGGATTTACCCCACCAACTTCAGATAATTGTAAATAACTCAACAATGAATCGTCGTAATAGCCCAAGCAGTATTAGACGTCAAATCTGGGAAGTATAAGAGCGCATATCACGCTGAGAAAGTGCTAGGGTTACCTAAGAGTTCTGTGACGCGTCGCGCCAATGGAGGTTTGACACGCTCTCAAGCCGCCCGTCAGCAACAGCAGAGTTTATCAAGCGCGCAAGAGACGATACTTCTGAAGTGGATTAAGAACCTAACAATTAGCGGTTATTCTCCTGGGCATCGGTTGTTAAAGGAAATAGCTGAAGAAATCCAGTCGCACCGATCACTCAATTTTGATGACGCGACACCAAACTCACTTCCACTCCAACCACGGTTTGCCCTTGGTTACCACTGGGTACAGCGATTCATAAAACGGCACCCCCATCTACAGGTTATCATCGGACGACGGATCGAAACTGTACGCATGGACGGTGCAACAAAACCGGTGCTTACAGCATGGTTTGACGCGTACACCGAGGTGGTTCAACAGTTCGGAATCACAAAAGAGAACACATATAACATGGATGAATCTGGATTTTCGATTGGGACAATGGAATCTACTCGAATTATACTTGATTCAACGCTTCGTACAAAGCATCAAGCGCATCCTGGCCGTCAGGAATGGGTTACAATGGTCGAGTGCATCTGCGCAGACGGAACCATCCTTCCACCCCTTGGGATCTTTAAGGGCAAGAACGTTCTCCAATCATGGATTCCTCCTACAATCATCAATGAGTGGTTCTTCTCTGCGAATACGAAAGGCTGGACAAGCAATCTCCATGGGTTAGAGTGGTTAAAACGCATCTTCGAGCCAACAACACGCGCAAAAGCAGATGGTCAGCACCGGCTTCTTATATGCGACGGCCACGACTCACACATTAGTGGGAGTTTCATTGCGCATTGCATGCAGAACCGTATTGTATTACTGATACTTCCCCCTCATACATCGCATTTGCTACAACCGCTAGATGTTGCGATATTTGGCCCACTAAAAAAGCGTCTAACGGCAGCGCTCTCCCCACTCAACCAAGCGCAACTTGCGCGTATACAGAAGTATGAATGGATGGAGGCATACATCCAGGCGCAGCTTGATGTATGCAACCATCAGAACATTGAGTCAGCATACCGTGGTGCTGGCTTGTTTCTGTTTAATCCCCAGCGAGCGTTGCGTACGCTGCTCAATGATGAGCCATCAGTCGAGGCTGAGTGACCAAAAACACCACATCAGTATGATGTTTTTGACCGAGTCTTTATTAACAGCTCCCCCCCTGATGGGATGACCTTTCGCTCTGCAAATGCGCTCCTTATAACTACGATTAATGGTAGTAGGGTGCTGTCAACACCAGTGCAGACGTACATCCAAAAACTCACCGTTGCATCAGAGCAACTTAGAGCACGTAGCATTGTCCACCAACTCGATGCCAACAACTTGCGATCAGTTATGAAGCGATGTACGGTACGTACAAAGAGGAAAAAGGTTATTCTAAAGGGTCACTTTCATGTTTCTACACAAGAATTGTGTGATGCAGTGATGGAGGCAGAAAAGGCGACGCATAGTGCAAGTAAGAAAAAGCGCAAAACAAAGGACAAGCACGCCTCATCAAACATTGAAATTGATGAGTATATTGAAGAGGATGCAGGGGAACAATCTGAGAGTGACGGTGGATCATGTATCATTGTTAATTGTAGTTAAATTTACAGGTTTGTTAGGTCGTCTTCAGAAATCCACCACGTTACCCAGTCCCCCGCATTACACCATTGTAACGCTGACTTCTAAACGATAGAAGACACAGAGGTTCTCTTGCGTAAAGGTTTACTTATCAGAGGAGGCAGGGGATCAGACACAAAGGCTTCAAGTAACACGTTACTAGTATATAACAAATACTGTATTGAGTTGAGCACAAAGCTCCTATCTAAGAACTAACTATCTACTTATATAGTGGCGTCGTGCCTAGTGGACTCCTGGGAACTCACTCGAGTCCTCGGAGTCCTGGACTCTTAGGATTCTTCTCATCATCCTGCGAGTCCGTCACATGCCTAGTGGACTCCTGGGAACTCACTCGAGTCCTCGGAGTCCTGGACTCTTAGGATTCTTCTCATCATCCTGCGAGTCCGTCACGTGATACTTTCGGACCTACGTCATGTTTTGGCACCCATTGGTCGTCTGCGGCTGTATAACCAGCCCATCTAATAAGGTACTCCTCTCTCTGGCCCCTGCCTCGTTTGATTATCCTGTGGTCTAGGACCGCTTCTACTTGGTATTCTTCCTCACCGTCCACAATTTCTACTATTCCCCGCTGCCCCTCCAGGTACCAGGGCCGGTCTCATGCGACCTCCCTCCTTCCTGTCCTGTAGTTGGCCAGCCTTCTTGTTCCGTTGTAACAACCATCACTTACGTTAACTCATGAGTATTTCCTAATTAGGATTAGATCTGCTTAGTCAGCACAAAATCGAAATAGAAGTTTCTAGAAAATAATTTATAATAGGGCAAAAGATCTATACCCTGCAAGTAAGAGAAAAAGATATAGGTCTACTACGAAGGATACAAAAAAGATGAGGAACCCCGTTGGGTCAATCCCCTTAAGTACCCGTAACGGGTCCGACTCGGCTAACCTGCCCTAACTCTCCCCACGTGACCGTCCTGTTGACTTAGATCCCTTCCATCACTGAGGGTGGAGGCATCCTTACACTACCCCCCCTCTTAAGAGAGTGTTTTGTCTGCAAAACATGCTGTGAGAATCATTTCCGCAACATCTCTGAATGGTATCCGTGAGAAGAGCGTTCTATGTTGGCGGGAATTCTGTTTGTAATTGCATCTGTAACAACCCTGTTTATGTGCCGTGTCGGGAAGGTGCATTGTATGTCATGCTAGAGTTGTGCCATATCGACTCCGTTTAGTGTGTGAAACCAGAGTTTGCTGTGTTCGCTCTGGGGTACAATCGTGGTGATCCGAGTGGACTCCGAATCGTATCCGCGAAGCGTTCGGGTTGAACTTTCCGACGTATGAAAGGAGAAGTGGCCGTGCTAACCCGATTCAGAGTTCATTGTTGTAAGCCAGACTATGAGTACGCAGCCGCACCCACTTCTTCTTGTTGTCTCCAACAACAACGCCAGCGACCACCCCTCCGAGAATGGTAAGTGACCCCTTCTTGTGGATTGTTTGACGGTGTACTAATAAATTGGATAGTATATTTCCAATCCACAAGAACGAGTAGGTGATGGGAACGCGTTGGTGCATGGGTGATAACGTGTGCTGGGCTGACGGGATTCGCAGAATTCCAACTTTGACGATGACAATTCCGATGCCCTCCGGGGCCCTTTCGGCTGCCTTCCGAGTGCTCTGTCTGTGCTGCCTTTGGGCAAAAGCTCATGGGATCCAATCTCACGATTGCGTCTGGTCCGCCACCAGCTCCAAGTGCGGGTACTGCACCGCGTGTTACGATGGTCATAGAGGTCATGATGCCAGTCCAGGAAAAGTAATCTAGATTGAATCTAAAGAGAGAAGAAAAAAAAGAAGGAAGGAAGGTGAGGCTATTCCCCATAACATACAGTTGTCTGCTTAGCGGTTGTAACCTTGTGGCTAAGGCTACACCCGTAATCCCCATAACAACTGTAATAACCATAACAACTGTAACAACTGTAGCAACCGTAACAACCGTAACAAGCTGTGACAAGCTGTGAGCTGTAATCGTAACACCATAACAAGCTGTGAGCTGTAATCGTAACACCGTGCAGCACTCGGCTTGCGTCCTGGTAGGTTTTCTTGTGGGAGTCGGTGTTGGGGTTGGTTAGCTGTTGCGGATCTTGATGGTGGGAATAGCTGCCCTGGTTCTGTAAGGATGCCTGTCCCTCAGTGACGGAAAGGATCTGAGTCGGACAGGTTACGGTCACATGATAAGTAAGAGTTAAGGCAGGTTAGCCGAGTCGGACCCGTTTTGAGTACTTAAGGGGATTGACCCAACGGGGTCCCTCTCCCTTAGTGACAGAAGGTATCTGAGTTGGACAGGTTATGGTCACGTGGTGAGAGGAAAGGCAGGTTAGCCGAGTCAGACCCGTTTCGGGTACTTCAGGAGATTGACCCAACGGGGTTCCTCTCCACATTTTTTTGTATCCTTCGTAGTAGACCTATAGGATAGCATCCATTTAGCCTCCGACTCGCACTCTCATATGCTATTACTGTGATCTGGGTGCCCTGTGTCCTTACAGGTTCCTTGGTGAAGAGTTTGCGGCCCTCCGCGACGCCGAAGAGGCCATCCCCCTCATTCCCGCCGACGTCGCCGCCGCCGCCACCGACGCAAATCGGGTGACCCTCCTGGCCGCCCAGAGCGTCCCCAAGTTCCGCTCCGAGGCGCAGTGTGACCTCTATGAGGAGGCACATGCCACTCGGGCTGCCCTCGAGTCAGGGCTTGCCGTGAGTAGACCCCCTTCCCCTTGTTTGTCTTGTGTTGTTTCAGTGCTGACTCTGGGCAGCAAATTCAGTCGTCGCTGCGCCATCTGCGGACAGAACATGAGAGCGTCCTGGCTCTCCTCGGGGAGTTGGTGGCTGCTGTGGGCAAACTGCCCACCGCTGCCGCTCCCACGGTCGCCCCAACTCAGGGTGATGGGAGGAAGAAGGGGGAAAAGGATGGGGAAGTTGGGGCGGCCTACGGGGCCTAGGTGGAGGAACACCCTGTGTTGGAGGGGACTCGGGCCTGGCCCTTCGTGTGGGGTCACTTCGACCCTCTCATGGTGGTAGCTGCTTGTTGCGACGCTGGTGAGACATTTGGGAAGGGTGACTCCTGCAAGGGTTACGGTGGTGAGTGGGCCCTGGCTCAGAGGGTATTTAGTTTAGAGTCGTAGATAGCAACGACTCTGTTTCTTCCACTTTGTCTTTCCTAGCGTGATCGTAGTTTTGTTCCTCGCCCGCCTCCCATTCCGTAACCCATCCGAGTAGTTCTTGAGGTGGACCTGGTAAATCTGGGTATTCTGTGTGAAAATCCCTGAGTTTATGTGGGGAGTTCATGAAGTTCAACGCTGGGTACCACTCCGGATCTAGGTCATATCCAACCCAACTAACCCGGTATTGAAGTTGCTTTCCTCGCAATCTCACGGCAAGGACCTTTTCTACTTCCCATTCTTCCAAGCCATCTATAACTACGCTGCTAGGCTCAGGCAGCTCTTGACTCAGTAGGGGGTTATTCGGGGCCTTGATGAGGACGTCTGGTGAGAACATATCATGTATTTGAGAACCGGTAGGTAGGTCTAGACGAAAAGCGTGTCCAACTCGTTCTAGCACCGTATATGGTCTGACCCATTGTTGGCCCAACTTGCGGCTAGGGCGAGAGTTCTTCAAATTTTTGTTCTATAGGTACACTCTATTACCTACGTCCCAGTTGATGGCCCTTCGGCATCGATTCACGTGCTTAGACATTTTCTCTTGTGCCTTTGCCATATTTTCCTTTGCGTGGACCCATGCAGTATGCATTCTGTCTGCAACTGCCTTGGCTTCATCTTGGTTTAGAGTCTCCCGGGGGTTGGTGCTTTTCAGGGTGTTCCAATCCCAACTCGTACGCGGATCGGTTCCGTACTTGAGTCAGTAGGGGGTCATGCCAATGGATGCGTGGGGGAATGTCATTTGCACGTGGTACATGATGGGGATGAGTTCGCTCCAGTTATCCTGGTAATGGGATACGAAAGGCCTCAGTCTCTGATCGATGTATCGGTTCATGATTTCCGTCTTTCCGTCGGTCTGCTTATAATAGGCAGTCGACAGCATAATCTTAACACTGATAATTCGACAGAACTCCTGCCAAAAGGATGATATGAATTGGGGTCCGCCGTCGCTTACAATCGACTCCGGAGTATGTCCGAATCGGTATATCCATTCGATGAACAATTGTGCCATTTGCCGGGCAGTTGTGGTTTTGTAGCAAGGTATGGTTACTGAACTCTTTCCGAGTCGGTCCATAAACACTAAGATGCTGTCGTATCCATGCTTGTCCCTTGGGAACTCCTTGAAGTCCATGGTGAGGTATTGCATAGGATATTTGGGTATGGGCAGCGGGTGTAGTAATCCTTATTGCTTGGTGACATTGGTATGAGAAAGCCGACATATCACACAATTCGGGACATAGCGCAAACAATCCGCTTCCATCCTGACCCAGTGGATGACAAACCTACCAGCTGATTTGGGGCAATCAGCTGGTAGGTTTGTCGTCCACTAGGATACGCTGTCGATACCTGGTCATGCGCTTCCCGGATAAGTTTCGTACATAGGTCAGTGTGATAGTTCACACATAGCCGGCCTATGTATAGAAAAAGCCGGCCGTTCAACGCGAACCTGTCAGGTAGGGGGTGTTTCGCGTGTGTCTCTGTAAATGACTCTATGTTGTCCTCACATAAAGCCTCTATTAAATCGAAGACATCTGGGGCTTAGAGGTGTGCATCGAATTAATGGATGCTATGTAGCTCTCCGCGAGTTCGGTGCTGATTCGGGGGTGCAGGCAGCTTGGACCTAACAATACCCTCGCCCTACTATCAAGCTTAACTTTCTGCTGCATTACCAAGTCTTGGTCTCTTCAGCTCAGAGCAGTGGCTAGTATATCTTGAGGGATCAACCTACCCTGTGCAGGTATGGACGGATCATAAGAATCTCATATACTTCACCACAACCAAGGTTCTAAACCGCAGACAAGTCCGATGGGCAGAGACACTTGCAGCATACAACTTCATGATTACATATCGCAAGGGCTATGAGAACGCAAGAGCTGACGCTCTTAGCAGAAGGACCGACTACATCGGCCCTAAAGAAGAAAGACCTAGAGCCATATTGAAGAAGACAGATGCAGGAATGCAATACAATGAGTTGCTAGCCACTATTGCCACTGTAGAGAACTCGGAGTTGGAGGAAAGACTCAAGAAAGCTTATGCAACAGACGAATGTGCAAAGCGAGTCTTAATAAAAACTGAAGGCGACTTCGCCATCGATGAACAAGGATTGATCCGATTCAAAGGATACCACTGTTCGCTAGAATATTTCATGTCTACCAAGGTTCTCACCGCGAAGCAGGTTCGGTGGATGGAACTACTCTCCGACTTCAACTTCTGCATTATGTACACCGCGGGCAAGAATAACCAGAAAAATCATAATTGAGCTCCGCGGGTGACAGTTTTCTAGAGTAATATGCAACTGGCTTAAGCTTCTCGTCTTTGTCTGGCCGACTTAGACATGCTCCAATCGCGAAGTCAGAGGAATCCGTTTCGAGGACAATCCTCTTTGCAGGGTCAAATGTGACTAGGATAGGTACTTCTGTGAACTTCATCTTAAGTTCCTGAAAAGCAGCCTCTGCCTTGCTTGTCCATTCAAACATAAGGTCTTTCCTTGTAAGCTCTGTAAGTGGTTGAGCTACCTTGGAATATCCCATAATAAACCTCCGGTAGAAGTTGGCAAAGCCTAAGAAGGCTTGTACTTCTTTGACCGTGGTTGGTGTTGGCCATTCCAACACTGCCGTGACCTTTGCTTGGTCCATTTTGATGCCATGCGTTCTGACAATGTAGCCTAAGAATTCTACTTGATCCTCATGGAATTCGCATCTTTCTGGCTTGAGTGTCATACTGACATTCGTTGCACTCAGTTTGCTATCAAACTCAAGAGCAAACTTGGAAATCTCCTCCTCAAACCTACAAGTCACTATATTTTGGCTTATCACACCAACAACAAGAGCAATACTACTCAACGATTGCTACAACCATCTATGATTCATTACACGTCATCACTCCTTAGTTACTGGGCCGATATTACCACATAGCATATCTCTACAACCCTCTATGATTCATTACATGACATCACTCATACTACCACATGATATATCTCTACCAACTAGAGGCCTAGGAGCATGAACGATAGCTCTAAAAGCTCCTATGAACCTCTATGATTCATTACACGTCATCGCTCTTTAGTTACCCACAAGATTGGTTAAGTTATGACATAATTTGTCTATGACATAATTTGTCTATGACATAATTTGTCTATGACATAATTTGTCTATGACATAATTTGTCTATAGGGGTACTCTGACCTTGGACCTCCTTTTACTTCCTATAGGCTACGAACCTAAGAGATGGTTCTATGGGATTCTCTTACGTCGACTACAGTTACCAAGCCTGGTAAGTCATGGAAAGTCTTGGAAAATGAGAGAACTACACTCCTTTAGCATAAATAGGATTGCCCTTTTCTTAAGAAAGGGCAAGCAGACAATACAGTAAATTGACTATCACATACTTCCACGTCTTTTCTAAGCTTCCAAGCATTGATCTTGTTATTCTTTGTTTCTGAAAAGTCAGTGAGGTGCTAACCTCTGACTTATCCCTGAGTTCTCAGACTCAACATTTGTTACAACTTGTCTAAACCACTCCACTACATCATACACCTGATTGCTGCGTTGTGGAATAGTCTAAGCTACGACCCTTTGGCTCTTCTCTTCCCCTACTTTCGAACAGTAAAGGCTTTACATCCTACAAAACGAGTATGGTTTGTGGATGATAATGTAAGTCTTCATTTGAAGGCTCACCGATCATTGGAAGATTATATGAGGAAGTAGGGAATCTATAGAGTGAAATTTTGGCCTCCAAACTCTCCCGATTTGCACCCTATTGAAAATGCCTTTGATTATCTCAAGGATCAGGTTGACAGCTATACACCATTAAACGGAGGGAAGTTTGAGAGAGCTCATGCACGGGTATTTCTTGAGGAAGAATGGGGGAAAAAAATGGATGAGAAATCTACACAATTATGTGCTTCGTTTAAGGACAAGTTGGAGCGGTGTATTGCAGTCAATGGGGGGAACAACTTTCGTGGGTAGATCAATAGTACGAGTAGAGAGAGTATAGTATGTACATGCATTTTCTCCAAGTACTTACACGCCCCTTATTACGCACAGACCCTGTGGAAACTTTTGGGCCGCACGAGTAACTCGAGTAATTCAAGGGTATCATAAGTATTTGTGCTAACCCTGGCTCTCGCACCAACACACCTACCAACACCTCCCCTGCTCCGACACCGCCAAAGCCCACGCCGCCTCCCCACCCACACCCCAACGGCATCATCGTTATTCGGGCACATCTTGCAAACATCACATCACGCACTTCCCATCTATCATGGGCGGAGGTTAGCGAGCGAGAGAGCGCGTGGTGGTGACGTGGGAGATGAGCTGGGAGGGTTTAGGTGGGGGGTCTGTGAGTAACTTCCTAACTTCCAGCAAGATAGGGGGCAGTAAGCTGTAATTGGAGGCTATTGAATGGAGTAGCTGGTGTGGGCGGAGAATGGCTATCGACGGGTGGTGGATGGGGTTACCGAATGTGCTATAGCAATATTGGGCTTGGCGGCGTACGTGCGGGATGGGATGGATGCTACATCCAGCCCGCCTCTGTCTCCGTATCATATCATATCGTATCATATCGTATCATAATATCATATCATATGATATGATATGATATCATAATATCATACCATACCATACCATACCATACCATATCATATCATAATATCATACCATACCATACCATATCATATCATATCATATCATATCATATCATATCATATCATATCATAATATCATACCATACCATACCATATCATAATATCATACCATATCATAATATCATATCATATCATAATATCATATCATATCATATCAGGCATGTAGTTCGGTATGGTATCCAGCAAGTAGCTGGTATCAAGGAAGTATTCTTGCCTGCTGGTGGAGCTGTCAGATGGCCTCCTCGGTCTTCAGCTTACGCGCGGAGTGCTGATTGGGCGCCACGGGATTTATGGTTAACGCGGTGTGCGCGTGGCCAGGTCGTTCGTGTTCGTGATGATGATGCCGCCGTCCCGTCCATGGCTTGGCTTGTGTTGCTTACCATTACCAACAGAAGGAAGGAGGATCCCCAGCCACACCGTCCACGCATATCACCATCATCACCTCCGTACATATCCAAGAACATACTTCTCTACTCTCCCATGCCTACCATCACCCTCCACCCTCCACCCTCGTCCCTCTTCCCTCTTCCCTCTTCCCTCTTCCCTCTTCCCTCTTCCCTCTTCCCTCTTCCCTCGTCCCTCTTCCCTCTTCCCTCTTCCCTCTTCCCTCTTCCCTCTTCCCTCTTCCCTCTTCTACTCTCCCATGCCTACCATCACCCTCCACCCTCCACCCTCGTCCCTCTTCCCTCTTCCCTCTTCCCTCTTCCCTCTTCCCTCTTCCCTCTTCCCTCTTCCCTCTTCCCTCGTCCCTCTTCCCTCTTCCCTCTTCCCTCTTCCCTCTTCCCTCTTCCCTCTTCCCTCTTCCCTCTTCCCTCTTCCCTCTTCCCTCTTCCCTCTTCCCTCTTCCCTCTTCCCTCTTCCCTCTTCCCTCTTCCCTCTTCCCTCTTCCCTCTTCCCTCTTCCCTCTCTTCCCTCTTCCCTTCCCCCTCGCTCCCTCCCAAAACAGGCAGCCATCCCCGCGCGCATACGCAAAAAAAAAAAAAAAAAGCTTGGCCTGCCAAGCATTCTGCCACTTAGTTAAGAATCATGCTTAAATGGGGCGAAAAGGGGGTGGGGCGTGCCAAGTACAGTGCGCGCTGCTGAGAAAAACCGTGGCCAGAGGGAGAGGGAGGGGAGAGGGGGGGCTGAAACGGCGGCGCGGTTTCGTCTTACTTGATGGAGGGAGGGAGGGGAGGGGAGAGGATTTGTCGTGATGGGCGATGCGGGATGGTGATTTGCTTGTAGCTTGTGTGGTCTTTGTTGGAGTGTGGAGATGGGGAGACATCTACGTAGATGCGGATACGTTGGGGATGGCAGGGGGGCCGAAGATGGAGGGGGGCCGAAGATGGATGTCTTACTGGCGAAGTCGCACCCGAGGAATAGGATTTGTTGGTGCCAGACAGGGTTCGTATTCCTATATTCCCATTTTCCCACTCATCAGTTCCAATTCCAATTTTTCTTTCTCTCTCTCTTTTTACATTTTCCCCCATTCTGCCCTGTGTTCTTGTCCCCTCCCTCCTGTGGCGGCTCGGCGGTAGGCTGGGCGGGCTTGGACATTTTATTATTATTATTATTATTATTATTTTGGGTAGGGGGCGGTTGGGTCTTGGCTTGTGTGGTTCGGCGTCAGACAGGCGCGGCGATTTCGGTGATTTTTTTGGGCAGGGGGACGCGGGAGAGGGGAAGGGCCGAATGGGTAAATGGAACCGGACTGGCGGGTTGTTGGATGGGTGGATGCTATATTGAGGACGGCAGAGGAGGGTGAAGTGGAAGTTGCGAGCTTGTTGGGTGGGTGGATTGTGACATTTGTAGTGGTAGATGGAGTATCTCCGAGGAGAGGACAGTGGTCTACGTGGATTACTCTATCTTACAGTTCCAAGTAGAGTTTCTTGTATGAATGATGCCGAATGAGCAGCGTCCCGCGTACTTTATTTACTGTAAGCTCAAATGTAAGCTGTAGCTGTAACTTGTAATTTATGTACTCGGCCCAACTCAGGCCCTGTACCGTACATGTACGCGCAGTACCTCCACCTCCCCAAGTACCCATCCCTCCGATCACCCTCCCCTGTAACTGTATGGGGAGATTGCCTGGGCATATCTGGGCGGAGATGAATGTACGTTGTAGGAAGGGGAGTTGTTGGTTGTTGGTTGTTGGTTGTTGGCAGCCTCATACAGCCGATGATGCATGAAGTATTGCGATGCTTGAAGGGGAGAAGGCATGAAGGTGTCGTATGCAGCTACAAATAGACCATAAGGCGGAAGGAGATGCATCGGAGGAGACCTGAGGGAGCATCTGAGGGAATATAGGAGGAGACCTGAGGGAATATCGGAGGGAATATAAGTGAGAGGTTAGGATAGTATAGGCGCATAAGTAGAGTATGTATAGTATAGATTGTAGTACAGTCAAACCCCTGTTATAACGATGTATTCTGTCCACCATTTCACTATCGTTATAACCAGTATATCGCTGTAACCAAAATAGAATATATTATGTAATCCATGTATCTAATGTCCCCTGAACTAATGATGCCTGCTGAATGCCCTCAACTGCTGATTCCAACCGCTCTAGTGTCCGTAAATAAGCAGAAGAAAGAGATTGAGATTCTTGGCTTTCAGCAAATCCAATCAATATATGAAGAGCTTGTTTAGCATCAGCCATTGAGTACATGGGCTGTGGAAGCTGATCATCGTCTTCAATCACTTTGAGTAGTCGGTAAACCTAAATGCTCTTGTAGCACTTCTTGTAAAACCTCATCTTCTCCTACATTCTGCTCATTCTCTCCATCGTCATCTTCGTCAACAGGGTTAAGAAAATTTGCAACTGACATAGCGTCTTGTATATTTCCTGCTTCCATAACCTTTTTATATAGCTCTGTAACTTCATGAGGCATAATTGGAGTAGGAAGTGAAATAGGCGAAGAGACAAGTGTTGATTTGCGAAAGCAATTGTAGATTGTAGTATTTGTAATTTCGTTATTCCAACTTCGTAAGATCCAACGGATTGCAAGGTGTAGATTCATTGATGATAGAGGATCTACATTTGAGTCGAAGGATTGTAAGATATATTGTAGCCAATGTCGCCAGTAGTAAGCTTTGCAATTCTGAATAATCCCTTGATCAAGAGGCTGGTAGCGACTTGTACTATTAGCAGGTAGCCAACATATTCGAATATTTGATGGAGGAGGATAAAGCTCAATTGCAGTATAATGGGCAGAGAAGTTGTCCATTGTAAGAAGAACTTGTCGTGTTGTGCCAATATGCTGATAAAAAGCTTGAAGCCACTCTGTCATAATGTATTCATCCAAGCTTTCTTATTCCACCGCCATTGCCCTCCCATTGTATGAACTGATACAAATCGCAAAGCGCGTGGTGTTTTAGCTTTGCCAATGAACCAGACTGGAAATCAATCTGTGCCAGTTGCATTGACACAAAAGACAAGAGAGATCCGAGACTTGTCTTTCTTTAAACCAGCTTGATGTTGTGATGAGAGACCTGGAGAGAGCATCATCATCCAATAAAGGCCACTCTCATCCATGTTGTAGATATCCTCCTCTTGATATTCCCCTGCCACAGTTTGTAAGGCTCTCATTTCCTCTTCTGTAGAAGCTGGGATAGATAAAGCTTCTCCGTGTCAAACTTTTAATGATATCTTAAAGCGCTTCTTAAATCCCTCAAGCCATCCAATGCTGAACTCTGGGACTGGCTTGCCAGAGTGTTGTGGAAACTGGCGCCAGATATCTCTTGCCTTTGTTTGCAGAAGCTCTCCAGTTGTAAATCCCCCTCTTGCTTCAATACGCTGCTGCCATGCAAACAGAACCTTCTCTAAGTCAGGCCAGAAGCCTTCTCGAAGTCGCACGCCTTGTGGTGTATTATTCTCGTCGAGGTGGGAGAAGTGTAGACTTAAGGATTCAGAAACAGTTTGTGATTGTATTCGTGGAGGAACCATTCGATGCATTGCTTCTGTGTAGGCTTTGGGTGCTGTCGATGTGCCCAGCGACGAAGGGCACGCCTTTGTTCTAATGTAATACTGTGCCTCTGGCTCATGATCCTAAGAATACGTCAAACTGGATATAACAATAATCGGGTGGAACTGTAACGATTATTGTAGTATCGTAAGTTGTGTCGAAATAGAATTGGTTCCGAAAAATATATCGCTATATCAAAAATATCGTATCCAGGATCATTATAACAGGGGTTTGACTGTATTACAGTAGAGTCTCGATAAGACGATATTCAATTAGACGATATATACAATATGTAGGAATTGCTATGCAGAAGCCAATTATATCTGAGACAATCTGACTAAATCGACTTGCATGGGCTACAGCCCATAGAGATTGGTCATGGAACGAGTGGAATAGGATACTTTGGACTGACGAGACCTGGATTACGGGTGGGCGTCATACTCGTACGTGGGTTACCCAAAAACTAGGGGAAACTTACGACGATTCATGTGTTGTTGACTGAGTGCAACGGAAGAGGAGAGAAAGGGCCCCTTTTACTATGTAATTTACTCATATATCTCTAGGGGTTGGATGCTTTGGGCCTGCTTTTCCGGTGGTCTTGGAAAGGGTCCCACGCTCTTTTGGGAGAAGGAATATGGCAAAATAGGGGCTGAGTCCTATATGGCTCATACTGTCCCCCTAATCCACAGTTGGCTACGCCTACACCCCGGCCTTACATTGATGCAAGATGGGGCTCCAGGTCACCGAGCAGGTACTACAATGGAGGAGTTGAGATCCTGTGGGATTTACCCTATAGAATGGCCCGCATTCTCACCGGATCTTAACCCAATTCCACTTGAGCGTTCCATATTAGTTCCTGACTGTGAAAATGAGTTCCTTCTCTGTCGCCAGTGCCGGCTGAGTATCAGTCTGATGCTTTAGAGCTGCCGCCCCTTATTCTGATGACGCATGTGCCTCTAAGAGTTCAATTACCTGAGTCTACATCAATCCTCTTTTCGAAAGGGCTATTCTACCATACTTTATTAGATACAATAGCTGCTAGAATCCAATACCAATGCCTTCAAACTGATTATAGCTATATGCTGAGCCAGCTACTAAAGAGCCAGACGACAAGTAATCTTTGGAAGCATCTTAAGAAGATGCAGCCATCTGTGCATACAGAATACGAGAAGCTATCCTCCTCAATTAGAAGCTTGTTGTAATGCTGACTTCTAAACGATAGAAGACACAGAGGTTTCTTGCGTAAGGTTGACTTGACAGAGGAGGCAGGGGATTAAACACAAAGGCTTTCCAAGTAACACATTACAGTATTGTAAAGAATACTATATTGAGTTGAGCATGAAGCTCCTATCTAAGGAAATACTATCTACTTATATAGTGGCATCGTGCCAAAGGGATATCCGTGGATAACATGG